TGTTACAGATGTCGAACTTGAATAGCTTGTTGTTGATGTTGAACTTGAATAGTTTGTTACAGATGTTGAACTTGAATAGTTTGTTAAAGATGTTGAAATTGAAGAGCTTGGTACAGATGTTGAAGGTGAAGAGTTTGGTGCAGGTGTTGAAGAGCTTGTTACAGATGTCGAACTTGAATAGCTTGTTGTAGATGTTGAACTTGAATAGCTTGTTACAGATGTTGAACTTGAATAGTTTGTTACAAATGTTGAAATTGAAGAGCTTGCTGCAGGTGTTGACGTTGAAGAGCTTGTTACAGATATTGAAGAGCTTGTTGTAGATTTTGAACTTGAAGAGCTTGGCACAGATGTTGCACCAGAAGAGCTTGGTGCAGATTTTGAACTTGAAGATCTTGGTCTTGGTGTAGGTGTTAAAGCTGAAGAGTCTGTTACAGATGTTGAAGAGTTTGTTGTAGATTTTGAACTTGAAGAGCTTGGCGCAGATGTTGAACTTGAAGAGCTTGGCGCAGATTTTGAACTTGAAGAGCCTGGCGCAATTTTTGAACTTGAGGAGCTTGGCGCAGATTTTGAACTTGAAGACCTTAGTGCAGATGTTGAACTTGAAGAGCTTGGCGCAGATTTTGAACTTGAAGACCTTGGTGGAGATGTTGAACTTGAAGAGCTTGGCGCAGATGTTGACGGAATTCCTGTAAATAAAAGAGGGAGTAATAAACACTCAGTTTATATTTATCCTATCTTCACGGGGAGATCCCTCTTTTTCTTGGTCTATATGCAAACACAATGGATTCAATAAACACAAGACAGATGCAGTTAGATATTAGACCTTCTGAAATATTTTCCGATGCGTAAGAAATTGATCATATGCGTGTTGAATCCAGTATCATTCCTCTGAACTTGATATAAACTGAATCATCTGATCAATAGAAATGATTGGAAAAAATAAACTGCTCGGAAATTCTGAAAAAGAAGGACTGAACGTTTAGATTTGTAAGGAATTGGTTAAATTCATCAACATGTGTTATAGATTGACTCCACTGTGAATGAAATGTTCCGTAGTATTCATTTTGGATTCTGGCAATGATTCCTTATACATCTGATTATGGTTTTGATGTTGGAAGTTTGTTTCCTAACCGGTTCTAGTCTTTAAAATTTCCTTTTTTTCCCCCCTTTATTTCACTATAATTTTTACAGTTACAGCATAAATACATATTCATAATCAGGGATTTGAAAATGGTTAATACTATAAGGGTGCAAGTATCTCAAAACAATCACAAATTATATAAGTATCATATTCCTTTTTCTTATTATAATATGTCCAAATGTATGTTTTTGAAAACGTTGTGGTCTTCCCCATGTATTGATCACATCATTACAATCTTGTCATGTGAAGATGTGTAACGCCATGCTGCTTCAAAGGATGCACTTTTTGAGAAAATAAATTCAGAGAAATGCCATTAATATCTGATTAAACACTACCAAATTAGATCAATTGAAAGTAATTGTGTTTACCACTTTTTATATCCCTTATTTATTTCTTTTTACATACATGCGCGTACTTAAATTAATTCTAACGCACTCCACGTGTAAACGTAATTAAGGTGATTAGGTTATGTGCGTGCGTATGTATGTAATTGTAAAGTGTAAGGATGAAGTAAGAATGTAGTTTTTACCATTGGCATATCCAGCTAGATGTACTACAAGCACCAGGCCCAGAAGAACACAACAATCTTTACGTATCATCATCCTGCTGCTGGTTAATTGTTTATAACGCAAGCAAAACCACGGCAATTTTCCCTCCTTCCTCAGATCTGCTAAGCACTCAGTACAAGAGACACGACACTTTGTATGAACTATTAGGTCTATATACTAGTATGTAAATATGTTCAAATTCAGAAAAAACATAATATTTGTGATTGAAGTGTGACAGTTCAATGATCTGATAAAAGGTTATTCATCAAGGACGTCTTTGGTCGTTGGCCATGTGCATTCGTGCACAGAATCGAAAATGACACATTTTGTGGAAATAACTTCCATTCATCATATATCTAATCTAAATGATACTGTTTTGTCGTGGACATGCATGAGACTGATATAGCACGAGACCCTGACTTAATAGATGTATGTATTGATCTGTTCAATGTCATTAACACATCATTATATTTTTCAATATCATCCTGATAATTTGATTGCCATATAAGGATAAGTATTGTTGAATCTCATTGCCCCCCTTCCCCCATTTTAATATGGCTCTAAGTGTTCTGCTTCAGCATTGACCTCTCCCTTACAAAATAGTGTAGAAGGACTTGGGTACAGACCAGGGAATAATATATAATATGTTGAAAGTGTCGCCCAATATACGGAAGTATACTCTATATATTAGATTCAACATTTATCTTCATACTCTAGACATAAATAAGATTTGAATAATGCTGAAAATAATGGCACTAGAAGTGTGATTTTAAAATATCCAATTTCTGCATTACCAGGACTCGGGCATTAACCCTTAACCTTGAACATGATTATTGTTATCTGATAAAAAGTATATATTTCATTAAATCATTATTTTCCCGATATGTTGCCTTGACAATGATTCATCTTTGGAAATCAGTAGACTTTTTATTGGGAACATGATTCGAACATCAATATTGATCAGACAACTGGATAAACGTAAACGCTGTTTACATGATACATGTATTTAGTCTGTAGACACGCCCGGTGATCGTGAATATGGGACGGAGGGGGGGGGGGAGCAGGCAATTTCTGCTAGGAAATTCAACAAATCTGGAAGATTTATTTTTTCAAGAAAAAGTTTACTATTGAATTGCTAAATGGATAGGCGCATGGTATGGTAGAATATGTTAGGTTTTCTGGGATTTTTTCTGAAACGATACGCATCTAAGGTATGAGATCTATTAAAAAAGGCGCAAGGCCATCAACAGGCACAAATCAACGTTTTAGCTATAAATCAAGCAACAATGGTCTTGACGACCTGTAATAAATACTTGTAAGTGATGTTATCATAACTAAATTAATGTCATTGCTGAATTTATAAAATAAGTTTCCATATGTGAAATAAAAAATAATCGAAAATAATGAATTTGGGACGGAGGGGGAGGGGACGGAGGGGGGAGCAATATGTATATAAGACATGATTAGAGATGTTTCGCGACTTTAAGTCCTTTTACTCCAAATGTCCCCATTTTTCAGTCTCCAGGGGTATATCATCCAGTTTCTTACTAAGTTAATGAGTTCATTTTTCAAATACAAGAATTCGTGTGAAGTTGTTTCACTTTATAGAATTATTACTCCCCCCCCTCCGTCCCCTCCCCCCCTCCGTCCCATTTTAATTATTTTCGATTATTTTTTATTTTACGTATGGAAACTTATTTTATAAATTCAGCAATGACATTAATTTAGTTATGATAACATCACTTACAAGTATTTATTACAGGTCGTCCAGACCATTGTTGCTTGATTTATAGCAAAAACGTTGATGGCCTTGCGCCTTTTTTAATAGATCTCATACCTTAGATGCGAATCGTTTCAGAAAAAATCCCCGAAAACCTAACATATTCTACCATACCGTGCGCCTATCCATTTAGCAATTCAATAGTAAACTTTTTCTTGAAAAAATAAATCTTCCAGATTTGTTGAATTTCCTAGCAGAAATTGCCTGCTCCCCCCCCCCCTCCGTCCCATATTCACGATCACCGGGCGTGTCTACAGACTAAATACATGTATCATGTAAACAGCGTTTACGTTTATCCAGTTGTCTGATCAATATTGATGTTCGAATCATGTTTTTGGGTTGGGGTGCATATGGTTTGTTACCCTTCAATATAGATCTTCCCTTGGTTAGATTTCAAATGATACGTTGTGATGAAAATCATGTGTAGTACTACCTGGTATCTAAACTCTAAACCCATTTTCTGTTCAAATGCTATAATTGTAGCTCCTTAAAGGGCTAATGTCCTTGCTCTTCAAACAATGTCAATGAACGGTTATAGATTTTCATAGAATCTCTAAATCAATAGCCTGCAGAATCTAATAGACGATTTATCCCCTATTTAAAAAAGATACATTATCGGCAGAATTATTCACAATAAGAATCAATTGTTTGTGACATATTTATTTTCTATAATTAACATTATAACAATTAGTCTAAATGACAGAATAAGAAAAAATGGATTCGAACTGTTCAGGGTTTTGCCTTTTAAAACTTGTTCACAACAGGGACACCACTTTCTAATATATAATGATTTCAAAGTTAAAAACTTGATATAGGCGTACATTTCGTAAACATTCTTGAATTCATTATTCATTCATAAGTCTATTGTTCTTAAACTATGACGTCATGATTACCATGGGTTAAAACAATGGACTTGGTTTAGAATGTTACAGAAATTCATCCCTGATTATCATGCCAATCTTTTGTAATCAAAGATATGTGTTTTTACTTTATCCATGAATATTTGCAGTTAGAACTTAACTTCAATACTGCTGTTTAAGTTGTCCACTGGTTCTTTTATCACTATTTGACAGTTTCATTAATTTACTTGCAAACATTTGCTTATTCTTGTTCATTTTACCATGGACTTCAAATAAGTCCATGATTTTACTGACCAATAGTATCAAACAATGTTACAAATAAGTTTCAAATAGAATTTACATTACTTATAAAACAACTAAAACAAAAATATTGTGGATAACACATTTAAACAATCAAGGATTCAGAATTGATCAACAATTTCAACTGTTCAATATATCTATTTCTCTTTGTTCCTTACAGCAAGCATGAGAGCTAGAAGGTTATATGACAATGTATTGTATTCATCCTCCTAAGCAGGCATCCAGAATCCGTTCCTCCTTCTTCTCCCTGCTATAACCAATTTGGAAGCGCCTGATTAAACTGAATCACGAGATCTAATTATGTGCCATGACTTATACATGATTTCTGCCGCAGTGTTGCGACAGCCAATCAGATTGCGAGTTTTTAATCGGGGAAATGCTAACTGCTTATCGCAGGGGGTAAAAAGAAAGAATATATTCTGGATTTTGAAGCCCTGTGGTCGGAGGATGATTGTATTGTATTTGAGTACCTTTTTTTCATTTTTGTAACTCCATTAATGCTATGCTATGAAATGCCCTTTGACAGTCAGTTAATGAGAAAAGGAGCATTGTTGAATCGTCTGAATCTGAAGATCTCATTTTCTGACAATGAATAAAGTCAACAAATAGTAAACCCAGTCCCAATTCCACTAAAATTAAATCTAACAGTTGATTCCCGTTCTCTAAGGAGGATCCTTCTTCTGAATTGCAGAGGCAGGAACTGACAAAGGGGCTATAGATCCAGGGGCCACAGAACCAGGGGCTAATAGTGGCCCTGCTGATACTGCACCTAATCCTACCCCTCTGTGTGTATGAGTTGTCATACGAGCCAACTCATAATCTTGATCAAGTCTGCGATACAGTTCCATTTGTTTTTTCTGTTGTTCCTCTGTTAACTTCTCATCGTCTTTTAGATCAACGTCTTTCATTCCCATAAGTTTCTTGAATTTTTCTGAGGTTTTTCCCTCATTATCTTGCATGAATAACGCACCTTTCCATTGCCCAGTTGTTTCCTGGAATGCAACAAAGTTGATTAGTCACAAAGTGCAATATTCATGTCCCATAATGCAACATAACGGTTACCCATAATGCAACAAGTAGATCACCAAACAACATGATGATCACCAACAATCCACATATTTAGAACCCACAATGCAACATGTCGAATACCAACCAATTAGTAAAACTGAAAATAAGTGATACAGGTTAGACAAACAGAAGGGAAGTTTCATTTTCTCAATCAATATGTTTATTAAAGTAACTGAACTTGTATTTCCTAATAATGATAATAAACAAGGCATGAACGTGTACCACCTCCCATTTGTTACAGATGCTGAACACCAACTGCCATCCACAAAAAGTTGGAGACTATAACAATATGTCATCACTTCTTGTCGTGACATAAAAACTTTTATTTCTTTACCATTGACTACGAGGCTTAGTTAGGGTTGGGAGATGTTTTATTAAATAAACATGACCATTCAATCCCCACCACACACGGAAATACACTTATTCTAATATCAATTTCTGAGGCTGAAGTTGCCCTTTTTAATTTACCAGATGACAACTAACTCTTGGGGTACTATGATGAGAGGCTATTTCTCATGAACTATTTGCTCAATCACTCTTAGGTCATATGAGTGAGACTCAAAAGCGAGGAGGAAAATTCTCAATAAATGGTGTATAGGTGGCTTGGCAACATTTTCAGTTAGGGGGAGGGGAGTCTTGTATGAAACTTCCACTTAGGTGATAGATTCGCAGAGTGGTAGGAAGTTCTTTTTTGAGGGGTTAGCTCCCCACCCCTCAAAGACTCCAAAAACCTCAAAAATTTGTTCACACTATTGTAATTTTTATTATTCTTGGCATGGGGAAAGAACCAGTTTTGATACCTCTTTGTTATCTTTGGCTTTGGACCAAAGTAATTTCCTTTTCTTAATCTGTTCTGCATATTTCAATGGATTGACAGCAGCTGGGTTGTAATACTTTGGAACAGCCACTCCTGTCATCTCTTGAGCCTGAAATACATGCACATATTGGTCAATGAGGGTAGGAACATTCCATGGATGTCAGCACAAGTTGGACAGAATGTTGTACAAAGCATGAAACAAAGGTGAGAGCATTTGTACTGACATTCTGTCAAATGAGTGTAGAATTTCACCATTTTGAATGGCCTATCATTATTTATTCCGATTCAAACATTAAAATGAAAACAATGAGAATTGGGGATGGATGCCATGAAATAATGTTATTTTCACCATTCCCAGGTGTGACATCAAAGTACAAACAATACATAGATTCCCGGATGATTGAAAAGATGCACAGTCGATCATGTATGGACAATTATAGCATGGCTATGCTGCATTCTAATTGGTTGAGAAACTCAATTAGAGAACGGTCATGTTTAACTACTTATTAGAATCAGACAAATCTTTAGATGTATGGTTGCCAAAGAGTGCATATGAGCTAATTTGTGGATTTATAACTCCATCTTTTGTCAAACCATTGTTACCCATAATGCAATTTAGGAATCAGACATACTTTCTGCTGCATATCTGCTATGGAGGGTTTAAGAGTTAACTGTGCTGTAATTACATCCATTTTTAGTCAAACCATTATTACCCACAATGCAATATAAGATTCAGACGTACCTTCTGGTGCATAGCTGCCATTGAGTGCATGAGAGCTAATTGTGGAGTTATAACACCCTCTTTAGTTAAAGCAGCTAGGGTTGCAGCGTCTGCTAATGGGAGATCACTTGGCTTCTCATTCGCTTTTACTGAAAATGAAAACATCATTTATAATCAAGAAAACAAATTATGATATTTCAACAATATTATTATGTTGTTTGGAAATGTATAATACAGTAATCTATTTTGGTGCAGTATTGCATACTTACTCAGCTCCTTTAGGTTGTCAGGCTCTGGCAGCTTGCCAGTCTCATTGAAAACTTTCTGGGCCTCAACTAGCTTCTGTTTCAAAGACTCCTGAAATCAAAGTAAATATGAAATCAGACCCTTTCACCAAATATATAACATATAACATTGTTTTTGTTCAAATTTCAATTTTGAACATTCTTCATTTTTGAAAGCATTCTTAGCTTACAGCCCATTGTTGTAACCACTGATATAATGACACATATTTCTAGAAACATTAAGTTTAGGAATTCATGAATTCTTAAATTAACTCTTTCATACTAACCTTAAAAGTTGGTCTATTTGGAGAGGGCCTTTTCCCATACCTATCCCTATGCCTTACAGGTGACCTACTTCTACTTCTACTGTTAAAACTATTGCGACCAAGTCCTTTAAAAATTCGCTTGCCACGGAATGGACTGATACTGCGACTTTTAGCCCTTGGAGATCTAGATTTACTGCGCTTTGTAGGCCGATCTTTTGAACTTCTATGATGTCTGTCCCGGCTTCTACTTCTACGATGACGATCATGTCCACTTGATTTCTTTTTATGGTCCCGACTTCGACTTCTCCGTCTATGTGATTTTCTCTCTTTGCTCCTACTTCTATGTCTCCTTCTGTCTCTGCTGTGGCTACGACTGCGTTTTCTCCGCTCTTTACTTTTACTTCGACTTCGCTTTTTCTCTTTATCCTTACTTGATTTACGGTCTTTGTTATCTTTGTTTCTACTTGGACTTTCTCGTTTTTTGTCATTGCTTCTACTCCTTCTACTTCTTTTTCTATCTCTGCTTCGACTACGACTTCGTTTCTTTCCAGTGGAGTGTTTTCTTTCACGATGTTTGCCTGGACTGCGATTCCTGAAGAACATATATTGTTACTATAAGCTTAAGTTAACATGCTTTTTCTTGCTGTTTTCAAAAATGCATCTTGTTTCAGTGATTTCATCAATAAAGTTCAACGTCTCCCTTTTAAAATCTAAAATATATCTGGAACCCCTGATATGTTTAACAAAGTTCATCTGATACATTTAAATAAGAAAAATGCCACTAGAGTGAGTCAAAAGTGGTGTACATAATAATTGCCAAGAATGACCTACTGTTTGCTGTTTTTATATATTTTTAAGTAAATAATTCAAAATAAAATTTGACTGTTTAAATATTGAAAACTCAGAATTCTCTACCTGCTACGACTGCGACTTCTTTTCCTATGTTTTCTACTTCGACTACCATGACGTCTATCTCTGTGACTACCAGGGGATCGACTACGACTCCTAGCCTTGGTGCGATAATTCTTTCCAGATGTTTTCTTGAACTTTATAGTCTCAGTTTTTTCAACCACACTGTAAACAATAAATATGCTTCTAAGATTAAACATATTTTCTTTTAATATTCTACAATTCTACACTTAGTGCTATTTTAAGATTTCTAAAGTGAAATTTGAGTTCTATATCTCTATTTCAGTACTATGTCTCTATTTGAGTTCTATCATTTAGTGATCTGAGTGAATTAAAATGAGACAGACTCATATTAAAGCGAAGCACTAAAAATCTAATCAGCATCATGCTGTTAAAATTCTCACGCTTGTTCTGCTGCTTTCACATCAGTTTTTGTCTTTTTCTTCTTCTTGGAGTCTTCCTCGTCAGAACTGCTGGAATCGCTGCTACTCTCTCGCTCTATTAGGAAAATAAAACTTGCTTAAATGAAATCCTTAAACAAGAACTTATATGCCTTTCTATTTATAATTGCTGGTCTTATTATTGAATTTGTATATGTGTGTAAAACAATTAACAATATCATGAAATTCTTTTTATTCAGGTCAACATAAAAATATTAATAACATGTATGGGAGGAGGGGATGGTGGTTTTCTTACAAAATATGATTTGTAATAATAGAGTTTACTTTGCAATCTGAGCAAATACAAAAAGACTGTAAGATTTCCATTTAGTTATGATCTCTAATGTTTGTAAATGCATCAACAATGACTTACTCCTTCTCTTTTTAACTTTCTTCTTTTTCTTTGACTTTTTAGATTTTTCTTTCTCTTCTTCAGAATCTGATGACGAGCTTGAACTAGATGAGGAATCTGATGATGATTCTGAAGATGATGAGTCCTCATCACTTTTCGATGGTTTTGTGGCTTTCTTCTCCAATGGAGGTTCCGCAATGAGACTTGCAAAATTTTCCCATTCTTCCGCAAGTTGGCTACTAGAGATCTAGAATACACAGCAAGAGACACTGAATCACACACAGAAATTAGAATATATGGCATGAATAATAAGGGATTATTCCAGATACATGTTTGATACATGTAGTTTCTGTATATTATCACTTCGTTTATTTATATTTGTAATTCAGATATCATTATAGCAACTCAATATCAAGAAAACACTAAAGAATGTCAAGACATGTCACAATATCTTTGTGACCACCAATTATTTCATTACACAGACTGTTACATAATTGCGTAGAATACATGGCAATATCTAGACTGTATCATAACTTTTGTTTTTGAATAAGATCGAAGCTTATACATTACATGCGTCCAGGTCCTTATACTTACTCAAGCTGCAGACCCATTTTTCATCCCATCTTGTCACTGTTTTTACGTTCATTCAATAGGTGGCAGTGTGTGCTCGAGTGATGTCATTGACTTGTATAAATAGCAAAAAATATTTGTTATATGGGCCCTTGAAAATTATTTTGACATTTTGAGTAAACAGTGGCCTTTCTGCATTGATATTAGAAGCTTAATTTAAGAAATGTGTCTATTTATGTTCTACAAAAATTTCAGCCATATTTTTTTTCTATTTTTGAAACAAGTTCAAAAGTAAACCCTCATTATCAGGATAACGTATTGGTTTTGGTAAATAAAAATCACCCATAATTAAGATGATGTATGGATTGATTTCTTGATATCGTTATTACCTTGGGATCTGCTACATTGGAGCTGCTACCAGAGATTTTCTTCTTGGAATTTTTTTCAGTCTCGTCGTCCATCTTGGAAAGTTGGCGAAAGTCCCGGATGTAGGTCAGTGGGCGATAATAGAAATAGAAATTCATGCATTCAGGTATACGCTTATTTTTGTTGTTTTACTCAATAATCCCAAATCAAATTGCATAATTTATATCTTAGAAGTTATCTCAATTTATCCCAAATTTATGCTAATAGTTTGGATTTGATTACCTCTTCTCTACAAGCCCATGTGCCATAGAGAGATTTCTGATCAATTTTTGGATATAAAATAGCTAAAGTGGGGAACATAATACTATCAAAAATGCATTCTGTCACATATGTCATGAATTCTTATCCCGTGCCAGGACTATAGTCCTGGACTGAGCGCAATCTTTTGGCCGTATGATTACAGTGTTTTCACTATGTAGGTTTGTCCAAGATTGCGATCCTGGGAAGTAACGATTTTCAAAAAATGCGTCTCCTCTCAAAAAACTGCGTCCCTCGAAAAAATGTTCCCAGGAATTCAAAGTCACGCTTTTACACTAAGTGAAATAAAATTGATGAAACTTATCGCAATTTTGCTACAGTGGGGGACAAAAATAAAACGCAACGTTCACAAGTTGTCACAATGAGCTAATTTCCAAGTTTAGTGTCTCAAACTCTCCCAAGCGGTAGAAAAATAATTCCCGTTCACTAAAGTAGCACAATAAATGAATCCAAAGCTTCATATTTGCAAATAATGGATAAATCCCTACCAAATCGAATGAATGTTTTCATGAATCACCATGTTTGTTATCCAAGGACGGTTGACTCCCAGAATGCAACATCAGTTACCGTATTTACTCATGACAGGTTTAAAATGGCGGAACAGGATTTTGAAAGCTGGCACGTGTCATGTTGCATTCTGGGAGCCAATCCTCCGTTCCGGCGCAATCGGGCGACAAAATCACCTCAACATTTGAAGAGTCGGCATAACATGTGAATATCCACTTCAACTTTTGAAGTTCTTATTTGTCATTAGGGACACAAATTCTACTATATTTGGACTTACTCAGACGGAGAAAATAGAGCACTGAATACACTGAGGTAAGAATTTATTACATGTGCGACAGCATGTAATTTTCATAGCTTTTGTAATTCTTTATGATCCCCACTGTATTTATCGGTCTAAAACAGTGTTCTGGCGAATCTAGTAATATGTCATTGAATAATACAGATACCATCACTTGTGAGGTATAACTTATATTCAACCATTTTCTTTGCGTATTTTGAAGCAATTAGCAACTGATTTTGCTTTAGTTTAGGGGCAATCTGTGCGAGGTTCAATCTTTTGGTTCAGTTTCTTGCGCATTCTTACATAATGATCTTGTGATCGCACTTGACCAATAGAAAATGGTTTAAATCTGGTCTTCAGCTAGTGGCCAATTGTAAGACTCGTACTGATTACTGCTCGAGATATCGAGTATTCGATAACTATTTACAAATTTGTGGGATTTCACAAGACATTCATCTAAATTTTGGGGGATTTTGAGGGCCATTCTCCAAAATTCATGGGATCTTGCGGGATATTCACCTGAATTCATGGGATTTGAGTGATCACACAAATGACCCAGATATGAATGCTGAGAAAAGGCAGATATGAAGCATTGTTTCCAATAATCAATCTGTTATTACATTGGTAAAAGTGTTTTGTCTAAGAAAAGAAGAGATTAGGTAAGGAAACCGCAGACATACATGTAGTCCTGATTTTCATCTTCAATTCATCAAGGTATTCAACTACACAATTCGGAAAGGTTTCAGCTTTGGGGTGAGGTTTGCCTCATCAAAGTCGAAAATTAAAAAAGCAGACCAAACTCACATTTATGGGGGTTATGAGTAGTGGATTTGCTGAAGTGGGGATTTCCCATGTTCAAAATTAGAATTTTCAAGAGGCCATACATCCTGAGGCCTGGGTATACAGTAAAATAAAGTTTCTTGTGTTTTGTTACATCTTTATTCACTCATTTGCATGAATAAGTAGCTAAGATAGTAAGTATATTTACATATACACTAGGCATTACCAACATTAGTACACTGGGGGATTATTAAACATTTTATAACGTATGCCAAGGCCTCAGCATACATCAGTAGATGAGAGTATACAATATGATTGTAAAGTATACTAATTTTAGGGAATACGTATCTAGACAATATTGGAAACTATTAGCTTTCAAACCAACGTGGTTTGGAAATGTTGATGGAAAATCAACTACTCATTGACTCAACTACATGTACTTACCTGAGAACGTTGAGATTGTTTGCCTGTTGTATGATTACAAGTAGAGTCAAAACCGTGACATACACTTGAATTACCTATACGTACCTCAATACATTCCTGGCTATTTTAGGATTTTTTTGTAGTTGAATCCCCAATCGTATGTGTTTTTATCGTACCTAACAAAAGGTACGATATTGTAGTCAGCTTGACGGGCGGGCGGGCGGCGTCTCACTTTTCAGCTTGTCTACAGGTTTCCAGCCAAACCATTTGAGGGATTCATCTGAAATTTTCAGGGATGTTTCTACATATCAACGTCAAGAACTGATTAGTTTTTGGGCATTCTGGGTAAATCTTAAGGTGGCCTTTTTGGATTTTCCGTCCTAAAATCTTCACTTTCAAGACTTGTCTACAGGTGTCCAGCCAAACCATTTGAGGGATTCATCTGAAATTTTCAGGGATGTTTCTACATATCAACGTCAAGAATTGATTAGTTTTTGGGCATTCTGGGTAAATTTTAAGGTGGCCATTTTGGATTTTCCGTCCTAAAATCTTCACTTTCAAGACTTGTCTACAGGTTTCCAGCCAAACCATTTGAGGGATTCATCTGAAATTTTCAGGGATGTTTCTACATATCAACGTCAAGAACTGATTAGTTTTTGGGCATTCTGGGTAAATTTTAAGGTGGCCATTTTGGATTTTCCGTCCTAAAATCTTTACTTTCAAGACTTGTCTACAGGTTTCCAGCCAAACCTTTTGAGGGATTCATCTGAAATTTTCAGGGATGTTTCTACATATCAACGTCAAGAACTGATTAGTTTTTGGGCATTCTTGTTAAATTTTAAGGTGGCCATTTTGGATTTTCTGTCCTAAAATCTTCACTTTCAAGACTTGTCTACAGATTTTCAGCCAAACCATTTGAGGGATTCATCTGAAATTTTTAGGGATGTTTCTACATATCAACGTCAAGAACTGATTGGTTTTTGGGCATTCTGGGTAAATTTTAAGGTGGCCATTTTGGATTTTCCGTCCTAAAATCTTCACTTTCAAGACTTGTCTCCAGGTTTCCAGCCAAACCGTTCAAATTTTTACATATGTTACACAGTGATAAGTTCTAGAGCTGATTATCTTTTCTGCGGCCATCTTGCTTTCTTGGTCAACAAGACCACAATGCTGTGTTTTAGGTACGATATTGTTCACGTCTGTGCCTTGTTATTTGTTAATTTAACAGCGATGAAGTTTGATGTGAAAAGTGTTTCATAATTTTAATTATTGTGAATTCCAGCTAGTCTCAAGAGCATGAAATGACAAAAACTGTGGAAAACACAACAGCACCAGAGGGCACCACTGTACCTCGGGGAAAACCAAAATCAGGGCGTCTATGGAAGCCAGTTAGGACAGAGAGGTAATCAATTCTGCAACAGTTGATGTGTGGATGTTTCAGTATAAGAGGCGTGAGGGTCACAGCTGCCCCTTAAGAGGCTTTCCCTTGCATTATTATGTCACCACCACATTATGGTAGATAGTGTTCTGTTGATGGTGGTTGGCTTTCGGTGATCAGTGGTCAGCATCTGTAATAAATGGCAGATGGTGACATTTAGCACATTATTGCCTTGTTTTATAATGGATGCTGAGAAATATCCAATAAACATCTGTAGTTGTACAAGTACATCAAAAACATTCCAATGGCTGCTTGATGACATGCAAAACACGCTAGCACAATTAATTACGGAGTTAATATTTATCAATGACACAGTTTTACACTAGAGTTCAATAATCAATGTTCACTATGGTTTCTGTAAAACTCATTCAGTTTTTAGCTCACATGGTGAGCTTTTGCAATCACTCACTTGTCCGTCTGTCTGTCCGTCCGTCCGTCTGTCTGTCCGTCCGTCAACAATAGTGGCACGTTTTAAAACCTCTGTCGATAGGATTCCTGTTTTAAGTTATTTCTGTTCAAGATCAATACAGAAAACTCCCTTATGACTCCTGGTTCAAAAGCTCGCCTATTTTCAAAATGGCCGTCACATTTGTCTCGCGAAATTCACTTTTGACCCATTTCCTTTAAAACCTCTGTCGATAGGATTCCTGTTTTAAGTTATTTCTGTTCAAGATCAATACAGAAAACTCCCCTATGACTCCTGGTTCAAAAGCTCGCCTATTTTCAAAATGGCCGTCACTTTTGTCTTGCGAAATTCACTTTTGACCCATTTCCTAGCTTTACAAATAATTTCAGGTGTCCAACACTGTAAAAATCCATGTCAATGTAAAGAGTAGATATATGTTATAATATTGTTACAAAAAATCAGCGAAAAATTATATCCATTTTTTTATTTTCAGCCATTTTAGTTAACATTGATTTGTCTATCTGACTCACGAAATCCACTTTTCGTCAATAACAGTGGCACGTTTTAAAACCTCTGTCGGTAGGATTCCTGTTTTAAGTTATTTCTGTTCAACATCAATACAGAAAACTCCCCTATGACTCCTGGTTCAAAAGCTCGCCTATTTTCAAAATGGCCACCATTTTTGTCTCGCGAAATTCACTTTTGACCCATTTCCTAGCTTTACAAATAATTTCAAGTGTCCTACATTGTAAAAATCCATGTCACTGTAAAGAGAAGATGTATGACATAATTTTGTGACGAGAAATCAGCGAAAATTATATCCATTTTTTATTTTCAGCCATTTTAGTTAACATTGATTTGTCCATCTGTCTCGCAAAATCCACGTTTGGACCATTTACCTTAAACCCTCTGTCGATAGGATTCCCGTTTTAAAGGAATATTCCTTGCCAAACCATCTCTCTCCTCATATGGTAGCTATAACCATATGTATGCTTGCAATGTTTAGCAAAACACGCAAAAATGTTTTGATATGGTCAAATTTGATCACTTAGAAATGTGATGCTCAATTCCAGTAAGCTGCCATCTTTTAAAATTTCACACAGGAAGTGATGTCATCGACTCTCAACTTTGCATATAGCATTAGGTGAGGAGCTATTAAGAATTACAAAACCAGCTAAATATTCTTTTTCAACTTTGTATCTTATTTAATCCTTCTGAAAATCTCTTCTTTTATTCTAAGTTGACAAGCCCTGAAAATATTTTTGCACAAAAAGTAATGATCACTTGTCTAGAAGTGATTTTGTGCTACTTTCCTATACTGTTATGGGCAAGGTTATAGAAGTTGAGAGTTGATGACATCACTTCCTGCAAGAAATCTTAAAAGATGGCAGCTCACTGGAAATAAGCACTAGATTTTTAAATGATCAATATTGGCCATATTAAAACATTTTCCCATGTTTTGCTAAATATGGAAACTATATATATGATTATAGCTACCATATCAAGAGAGAAAAGGTCTGGCAAGGAATATTCCTTTAAGTTAATTTTGTTCAACATCAATACAAAATCTCTCCTATGACTCTTGGTTCAAAAGCTCGCCTATTTTCAAAATGGTCGCCATTCTTGTTTCGCGAAATTCACTTTTTGCCCATTTCCTAGCTTTACAAATAATTTCAGCTGTCCTGCATTGTAAAAAGCCATGTTACTGTAAAGAGTAGTTGTATGAAATAATTTTGTAACAAAAAATCGGCAAAATATTATATCTGTTTTTTTATTTTCAGCCATTTTAGTTAACATTGATTTGTTCATCTGTCTCGCGAAATCCTCTTTTGGACCATTTACTTAAAACCTCTGTCGATAGGATTCCAGTTTCACGTTATTTTTGTTCAACATCAATACAAAAAAACTCCCCTTTGACTCCTGGTTCAAAAGCTTGCCTGATTTCAAAATGGTCGTCATTTTTGTCTTGCGAAATTCAATTTTGGCCCATTTCCTAGCTTTACAAATAATTTCAGGTGTCTTGCATTGCAAAAAGCCATGTCACTGTAAAGAGTAGTTGTATGAAATAATTTTGTTCCAAATAATTGAAAAAAAATTATATCCGTTTTTTTTTCAGCAATTTTACTTAACATCGATTTGTCCATCTGTCTCTCCGTCAGTCCAAAATAGTGGCAAGTGGCTTGAATAATTTTGTTACAAAAAATCAGCAAAAAATTATATCCGTTTTTTTCTGTCACCATGTGAGCCCAGTACCCATGGTACTAATTTTTTACCTTATTTTTCCTTTTAATAACAATTCAAGGTTAACATTAATCATGATTTAACTATTTGATTAACATTTTTGCCAAAGTCTTCAACATTACACCCCATATACAACTTACTCTTATTCTTACCACATTTGAATTATCTACTAATTCTTTCTTCAGACATTCCAATTTCTCCAAACCAAAGACCAGTAAGTCGTCATGGGCACGCAAGATGGAAGAGAAAAACCTCAAGAAAGCTGTGAAAAGCTATGAGAAGGAACTGCAGACAAAGCGGGCAGAAGAAAAAGAGGTATATTCATGTTGTCTTTGTTGTTACTATGATACAGGGTAGAGGACAAAGAGGTATGTTAATGTTGTTTTTGTTGTTACCATGACACAGGGTAGAGGACAAAGAGGTATGTTAATGTTGTCTTTGTTGTTACCATGAAACAGGGTAGAGGAAAAAGAGGTGTGTTAATGTTGTTTTTGTTGTTACCATGAAACAGGGTAGAGAAAAAAGAGGTATGTTCATGTTGTCTGTGTTGTTACCATGACACAGGGTAGAGGAAAAAGAGGTGTGTTAATGTTGTTTTTGTTGTTACCATGAAACAGGGTAGAGGAAAAAGAGGTGTGTTAATGTTGTTTTTGTTGTTACCATGAAACAGGTTAGAGGAAAAAGAGGTATGTTAATGTTGTCTTTGTTTTGTTACCATGAAACAGGGTAGAGGAAAAAGAGGTGTGTTAATGTTGTTTTTGTTGTTACCATGAAACAGGGTAGAGAAAAAGAGGTATGTTAATATCTTAACACGGTGATACAAAGAGTAGACTACGTTTTATTCAACGCCGTCCTTACATTAGATGGACTCCAAAAGATGACGTTGGACGGAAAAATAAAAAACTCCCGAGTCCCTTGGACGCACTTTATTTCCACAGCAATTTCCAAAAATCTTACCTCTTAAAAACTCAAACAGTAGTAGAAACGTTTTTACCCCAGAGCAGCTTATTTATCCTCTGAATGTATGTTTTATGAGACGTTTTGTCCAAAATTTAAAAATATTTGTTTCAAAATAATCCGCCATATTGATCTCCGCCATCTCGAGATCTCGCACGAAATCTCGTAATGGCCGCGCCTGTTTTGAAATGTGAATTTTTCGCTAATTTTCAAAACTAGTCTTTTAGCAGTTATCATGGCTCAAATAGTCCGTGGATATATTCCTAGATGGGAAAACGATTTCCCATGGCTACGAAGACCAGAGCTAAATCAAGGCATGAAGTGTAATGTATGCATAACATCTGGAAAATGGAATATCTTCACGACAAATGGGTGCAAAGACTATCAATTTTCTAGTCTAACTCGTCATGTTTATGTAGTTGTAAATTTAGTAAATATAAAATCACACCATAAGACATGGTAAAAAAGACAAAATTGTGTTACTTTAGAAAAAACGAGTACTTGTATTTGCTTTATCCAATTTTTTCATTTTTATGTCCCCACCACATAGTGTGGGGCCATATTGTCGGCGCGTCCGACTGTCTGTCCGTCCGTCCGTCCGTCTGTCCGTCCATCTGTCCGTCCATACGTCCGGGAGTTTTCTCCAAAACCGCTACAGATATCACCTTCAAATTTTCAGGGATAACTTATGAGTGCCTATAGATGTGGATGAAAAAAATTTAACTCGAAACCTACTTCCTGTCAGCTATTTTGAAGTCAAATGCTAAAATCCTTGTCTGCAAACTTTAAGAAAAACGGCTTCACAGTTGCTTTTAAAACTTTAACATCTTGTTCAGCTCACTTCATTTTAGATCTGATTAGGTTTTGGACCTGTAAGCTCAGTCATGTCAGCCATTTTGAATGTCTTAAGAAAAGTTAGCACGCGATAATACTTTGTATCATATTGAATGGTGTTTTTAAGTTTTCATACTTTAACTATTTGGTAGCTTTATAAATAATTTCAGATGTACTTTGTTGTAAAAACCTATGTTATTGTTAACAGTACTTATATGTGATAATTTTGTAAAAAGAAATCAGCAAAAACTCATAAAGACTTTTTTATTATCGGCCATTTTGGATTTTTTGGTCCTAAAATCTTGTCTGTGTAGTCTTGTCTGCGCGTTTTCAGGTGAACTGTTTGGTGGATCAATTTCAAATTTTCAGGGATGATTCTTAGTATGACAATCTAGATCTGATTAGTTTTTTGGCATTCTGGGTAAATGTCAAGGGAGCCATTTTGGATTTTCGGTCCTGAAATCTTGTCTGTAAAGTCTTGTCTACGTGTTTTCAGGTGAACTGTTTGGTAGATCAATTTCAAATTTTCAGGGATGATTCTTAGTATGAAAATCTAGAACTGATTAGTATTTTAGCATTCTGGGTAAATGTCAAGGCAGCCATTTTGGATTTTCCGTCCTAAAATCTTGTCTGTAAAGTCTTGTCTACGTATTTCCAGGTGAACCGTTCTGTAGATCAATTTCAAATTTTCAGGGATGATTCTTAGAATGAAAATCTAGATCTGATTAGTTTTTTGGCATTCTGCAGCCATTTTGGATTTTCCGTCTTCAAATCTTGTCTGTAAAGTCTTGTCTACGCGTTTTTAGGTGAACCGTTTGGTAGATCAATTTCAAATTTTCAGGGATGATTCTTAGTATGAAAATCTACATCTGATTAGTTTTTTTGCATTCTGCGTAAATGTCAAGGCAGCCACTTTGGATTTTCTGTCCTAAAATCTTGTCTACCCGTTTTCAGGTGAACCGTTTGGTAGATCAATTTCATATTTTCAGGGATGATTCTTAGTATGAAAATCTACAAACAGATTAGTTTTTTGACATTCTGGGTAAATGTCAAGGCAGCCATTTTGTATTTTCCATCCTGAAATCTTGTCTGTAAAGTCTTGTTTACATGTTTTCTGGTTAACTGTGTGACGGATCAATTTCAAATTTTCAGGGGTGGTTCTTGGTATGACAATCTAGAACTGACTAAATTTTTGCCACTCTGGATAAATTTTAAGGTGGCCATTTTGGATTTTTTGTCCTCAAGTTGTGTTGGTAAAGTCTTGTCTACTCATTTTCAGGATAACCATTTGACGGGATCACCCATTGGTGGGGACATTTTGTACACATTTGTGTTCTTGTTAATAAGTTGCAGGCTTTTAATTTTTCGGACCCACTATTTTTGGGTTTGGACTTCATTTTTTTTACCGTGGGATCCATTGGACCCACTTCTTGGTAACACTAAATAAAACGCTGATAGAGGTATGTTATTACCATGCTATTTGAAAGGTAAGAGTGTCAGCTTTAGGATATGGCATGCTTCCTGAAGTTCATTGCTTACAAAGTTGTCTCACCAGGAGTCTAATTTAGTGAATAGTAATTTTAATCATGACAAAAAGACACAAATTCTGACTTTGTTAAAAGTTATTCAAGTACAATGAAGCAGCCTATGGTATGAATAAACAATCAAGTGTAAAACTAAAAATCGAAATTGTCACCTAAAATATATAACATTCTATTCTCATTATTTTTATTAGAGATTGAAAACATATCTGTATATTTCTAAAAGTATAGAGAAAATCCTCATTTTGAAAGGCAAAGTTTAACTTTTACAAAGCTTCATATTGATTCTCTAACATTTCAGCTTAAAAGGAAAAGACAAGAAGAACATCACAAAGTCAAGGCGGAGAACCAGAAAAAAGCAGAAGTTGTGCAACCAGTGAGTATTTTGAGTAGACATGAGTCCCTTGAGTAAATATGAGTACCTTGTCTTGAGTAAATATGAGTGCCTTGAGATTTGAGAAAAAATATGAGTTCCATTCATAGATATGAATACTTTGAGTAAATATGAATGCCTTGAGTTAATGTGAATGCCTTGAGTATATATACGTTCCATTTGAAATATGAGTATTTTGAGTACTTCGGGACCTTTGAGTAAATATGAGTACCTTGAGTAAATATGAGTGTCTTGGGTATTATTTAAGTACACATGAGTGCCTTGAGTGTGAATGAGCAGCTTGAGTAAATGAAGTAGATTGAGTTTATTATATGATCTGAGTAGCCTGTGAGTCATTATTAATATGTTTACAATATTGACTCAGGCATCTAGATGCACTCAACATTCAATTGTATATACTGACGTGTCGCAAAAAGGTCGCGCACGCATTGTTACACATTTTCGCTTTTTAACACCGCTGAATGTGACGTTTTTTGAGAAAAATGTACACATATGGAAATCCTTTCGTCCTCCACATTTGCCTCTATATCTCAGAATATTTAAGGCGAATAACTCTGATATCGTATATGTATTAACAATGGGATAGGAGCATCATAAAACACGAATCAAATGATATTTTAGGTGAAATAAATATACGTGTTGCTTAGGGTGGTCCAAAATATGGCGAAAAACCAACTTTGTTTCAGATCATCTTCCTCATTTCACTTACTGTTGTCCATGACCTAAAACACCTGCAAACCAAATTTTAAGACCCAAATCACATGGGAAATTTACCCACGCTTCGACTGAAAATTCGGTTATTTCATGATTTTTTGCTATTTTCGATAAATTGTCATCTCCCTTTTCCTGGTATAATATGTTTCTATTTTTTCATAATAAACATTTTTGTAGGACTCTTTATTACTTCATAATACTAGGAACCCATACACCAAATGTTGAGACCCAAATCCCATGGGAAATTTACCCACGCTTCGACTGAAAAATTCGGTTATTTCATGATTTTTTGCTATTTTCGATAAATTGCCATCTCCATTTTCCTGGTATAAAATGGTAGATGTCTTTTCATAATAAATATTTTGGATGACTCTTTATTACTTCATAATACTTAGGAACCCATACATCAAATTTTGAGACCCAAATCCCATGGGAAATTTACCCACGCTTCGACTGAAAAAATGGGTTATTTCATATACAATACAATACATCTCTATTTTCCTGGTATTATATGTTTCTATTTTTTATAATAAATATTTTGGGAGGACTCTTTATTACTTCATAATACGAGGAACCCATACCCCAAATATGCACATATTTTGAGACCCTGGCCCCATGAGAAATTAATTCATGCTTCAACCAAAAATTTGTGATTTTCTGCGAATTTTCTCCTATTTTCAATAGATCAACATTAATCTTATATTTAGTTTTTAAACATTTTAGGAGGACATTAATACGTTCTTAATACTAGGAACCCATACATTTAATATGTACCAAATGTTTAGACCTGAACCCCATGGGAAATTCACGTTTGCTTTGATCATATACTTTTGATTTTTGTCGTTTAGAGCACCATATCATTGTTGTGTGATGTGCAATTTGTAATAAATTGTATTACACGTTGTCTTAATTATCCTGTTTGGCCTTACATACGTTACATCGTGAAAGATGGTTATATAGTACTTTAAGGTAATTCCTTATTTTCAGTTTTAATGGCTTCCTAATTGGAGCCCCGTGTTTTTTCAGGAACACATAACTCATTCAATTCAGATGCACAAACAGTGTATAAACATAGCACATAGTAATTTATAGAAAATTACTAACCATCAACTAATAATCTTAATACATATTTGAACTCAGTGTAAAATTGATAGAGCTGACCAAGTATGGAATGAGTTCCAGAAATAACATCGGACTCCACTTAAAATTTCTGAACATACAGAATTACCTTAAGTGTTTCTCATTGCTCTTCCTATCTTCTACATTGTGCACTTTCAGGGCATGAACATTTTCAGAGAAATGACAAAGCTCAGTGGAAGCTCGAATCCCTTGAAGATTTGGTACAGGCTTACTGGTTACAACAGAGACCATGCCATTGATACATTGATCAATCAAAAAATCATTTCTCCAAAGAAAATCAGATTTGATATTTGACCTTACCCTGCAAAGATGTGAGAAAGAATATGACATCTCACACAAATCAAACAAAGTCCTGTGATGTATCCCTACTGAAACCAACAAACCAAATCTTCAAGGCATTTGAGTTGCTGTCGAGTCATCACTTCTTAATATTAACCACAGTATATAAATGTACAAGTAAAAGATCCTAAATTTTCCCCAAACTACTGAATTTGTCGCCTTTCAATAAGACTTAAAGTCTTGATATTTAGGTGTTTCTTTGGATTAAGAAGGAATTACCATAATGTTTATTAACATATTATGCCCCTAAAACAGACATCATAAGCTATAATAAGCAGGTAGTAGGGTAGGTACGAAAATTTCCAATGAACATGCGTGACATATACGGGAATCGCGTGACAAATCCGAAAAAATTGCGTTCGTTTTTTTTCCGACGTTCGTATTTTTACCGTATCGTAAAGATATTTTGAAAAATTTTCTACTGAAACATTTTTGCTTGACAATTACCAGGTAAAATGCGTATTTGCGTGACATTTTCTGTCACGCAAAAAAAATTGGCGTGACTTCAAATTCTTCAGCAAATGCGTGACAAATACGCAAATTGCGGGACAGTTGACAGGCCTGAAGCATGGGTAACGTTCTCATTGGATTTGGGTCTCAAAATTTGGTGGATATTTGGTGTATGGGTTTTTAGTATTATGAAGTAATAAAGAGTCCTCAAAAATGTTTATACATATCGTACCAGGAAAATGGAGACAGCAATTTATTGAAAATCGGAAAAAATGTGAAAATCACAATTTTTCAGTCAAACCATGGGTAAATTTCCCATGGGATTTGGGTCTCAAAATTTGGTGTATGGGTTCCTAGTATTATTTAGTGATCATTTACTTAACAATGTTATACATGAAAAAGAGATTCTAAATGCCTTAAATAAAATTAATGCTAATAAATCACCAGGTATTGATGGCTTACCATCTAATATTATTAAAAATTGTAAAGCTCTATCATTAGATTTTACTGCACTATTTAATTTTATCTTTGATAGAGGAGATTACCCTGAAGAATGGAGTATCGGTATGCTCTCCACTCTTTACAAACAAGGATCATGTTTCAATCCAGATAATTACAGAGGAATCAATGTACTTGCTTGTCTAGGAAATGTTTTTGATACAATCATTCAAACAAGATTAGTGTTCAATGCAGAAATGCTCAATATTCAAGACCCATTACAAGGTGCTTATAAATCTGGTCACCGTACAACAGATAATTTGTTCATTTTAAACACTATTATTTCACATTTTAAGAGGCAGAAAAAGCCTCTATATTGTATAATGGTAGATTTTAGGAAAGCGTTTGATTATGTCAACAGGACAGCACTTCTTTATAAATTATGTAAATCAGGGATACATCCAAGTTCAAAAATGTTTAAAATTATTGATAGCATGTATAAAAAATCGAAATCATGTCTCAAACTTAAAGATGGCATTACTCCAACGTACAATACTGGAATTGGCGTTATGCAGGGCTCTGTTCTCAGTACATATCTTTTCAACCATTTTTTGGATGACTTGAAAGATTTTCTTCCCTCAGAACATGGTATAGAGTTTGAAGGTGTTTCTTTAAACCATCTACTTTGGGCTGATGACTTAGTATTAATAGCTAGCTCTAAATCTGGGGCACAATCTATGCTAGACTCTCTCTTTGATTTTTGCAGAAATTATCATCTTGTTGTCAACACTGTTTAAACAAAGGCTATTATTTTTAACTCTAAATCAGATGAAACTTTTAAATTCAATAATGAAGTGATTGCATGTGTAGAAGACTACAAATACCTAGGATGTATCTTCAACAGTAAAAATAATTTTGATAAACAAATATGCTATCTTAAAGAACAATCTAGAAAAGCTTTATTCAAAATAAAGCAACAATATCACAAGTTTAATGACATTCCCATATCAGTTGCCTTACATTTATTTGATTCACTTGTCCAACCAATTTTGATGTATGGTTCAGAAATATGGTCAAATAAAAAACATATCAAGTCACTTGAAACTATTCACCTGTCCTTTTTAAAAAGCATTCTTGGTGTGAAAACATCAACTGCAACCCTAGCAGTCTATGGGGAGCTGGGTCGTTTCCCCCTTAGTTTGTGCTTTGATATTAATCTTATTAAATATTGGATACGGCTTATACAACTTTGTCCAGATAACCTCCTTTATAAAGCATATCTATATGACTATGAAATGTACAGTTTAGGATTTAAAAATACTTGGTCAAGTAAGGTTCATAATATTTTAAAAGATTGTAATCTTGAAAGCACTTGGAATGAACAAGTTGTTGATGATGACTATGTATTCAAAAAGAATCTAACTAAAACATTGCACCAAAATTATAAGGAGAAATGGAAGTGTGATTTACAATTATACCCAGTTTAAGAACATACATTAAATTCAAAACAATTTTCGAAAGAGAACAATATTTAAGCAAAAAAAAATCACAGGCAATCAATTTCACAACTGAGATTAAGTTCACATAAATTACAAATAGAACTGGGTAGACATGTAAAACCACGGCCAAAACCTGAATATGAAAGATTGTGTAACTTTTGTGGGGAAATAGAAAGTGAGGTTCATTTCATGATTAAATGCCAAATACATAGAGAAAATAGAAGAATATTGTTTGACAACATCACTAGCAAAATTAATGTTGATCAACATGATCCTGAAAATACATTCATTATGTTAATTTCTTCAAAAGATAAATATGTGCAAAAGCAAGTTGGAAGTTTTATTACGAAATCATTCAAAAACTTAAACTTGCCTGGGGATTAACATTTTGGATGCATCACACCTAAAGTATATTATAACATATGTAAATAACAAGTTTTTTGTATAAATTGTATATATTAGTGTAGTGTAGTGTTGTGTAGTTTTTGTAAAATTTCATTTTGTAATGACTAATATGTCAGGTCATGACATCTAAAGAGTCAATAAAAGATATATATATATATTATGAAGTAATAAAGAGTCATCCAAAAATATTTATTATGAAAAATAGAAACATATTATACCAGGAAAATGGAGACAGTAATCTATTGAAAATCGGACAAAACTGTGAAAATCACAATTTTTCAGTCAAAGCATGGGTAAATTTCACATGGGATTTGGGTCTCAAAATTTGGTGTTTGGGCTCCTAGTATTATTAAGTAATAAAGAGTCCTACAAAAATGTTTATTATGAAAAAATAGAAACATTTTATACCAGGAAAAAGGAGATGGCAATTAATCGAAAATAGTAAAAAATCATGAAATAACCGAATTTTTCAGTCGAAGCGTGGGTAAATTTCCCATGGGATTTGGGTCTCAAAATTTGGTGTGCAGGTGTTTTAGGTCATGGACAACAGTAAGTCAAATGAGGAAGATGATCCGAAAGAAAGTTGGTTTTTCGCCATATTTTGGACCACCCTAGTGTTGCTGTGCTTGAAAATAGGCGAATGGCGTAAATTAGCCCTATTTTAATGAATTTTGAAAACCTTTCGTCCTCCACTTTTCCACATACAACAGAAAACACATACTTTTGCGAACAAAATCAACTATTTATTAATAAACTAGGGGTTAAGAGCAAAACAATCATGTATGATTTATGAAAAATTGGTCTCGTATTTTTTGTTTAATGTACACCTAAAAAGTTGAAGGTAACAAAAAATGAGCAAAAAAGGTCGCTGTCAACAGATTCTATTTTTCAAACTCTATGACGTCACAATATGGGACGCTTACTAAAATTCATCCTTTGAAATAAAACTTCCATCTACCTTTATCAAGATAAAAAATAAGTGTAATAGTCATATATTGTTTGAGTTATGAGCGTTTAAAGACGAAAAATAATTCAAAATGTAACGTGTCAACAGGGGATATTTGATGTTTAGGTAAAAAACTCTTTTTTATAAAAGAACGCGCAAGAATCGTGAACGGAGTGTAGTTGATCTAAAAACTTCATCGAAACAGCTTTAAAATGATATATAACTTTAATTAGAATATTATCTTATAATCCGGGGAATCAAAGTTACATTCACGCGATACCCTTAAAAACAAATGCGCCACCTTTTTGCGACACGTCACTGTTAACCAACTTAATTTGGCAATCAATTTAATTTGATGAATTTGGCGAATTGCAAAAATTCACCAGTTCATTTCTTAGCCAATTTTTCAGAAATACCCGGGAAATTTTCGTCCAGTGTGATTTATGTTAAAAAAATGATGTATCGCAGTTCAAATGTTCAAGATCTGATTTATCCAATAAATTTGACCATTTGGCATTAGAAAGTAGCAATAAGATAGCATCCAGTTGATAAATATAGCTTATTTATTCATTTGGACAAATTTTGAAGGTCTTAAAGCATTTCTTATGTCAAATTAAGTTGACTTACAGTAGTAACAGGGTGGTCCAAAACAAATGGGACACCCATATTTCAAAGATCAATTTTGATTTTATATACCATTCCAATGGATAGGGAATTTACTTATTTTTAATTTGGTATAACATAAGTTCAAAGGACGATTCTCGGTTTGGAGAACAGCCTCCTGGGCTAAAAAGTTTTTCATGAAAAATATAGCAATATTACCCAAATTAAACTATGAATATTCAAAAGAGGACATTTAAATCTACAAGATGTAAAAATAACAAATTGGTCTGAAGCAGGGATAATGCTCAAATAGACCGATTCAACAAAATATAAGTCTCGATTTGGGGAAAGAAGTTCATCAGTGTACTGCGCTAATATTTTTTTGCGAAAAATCTAGAAATATTACCCAGATTAAATTATGACTATTCAAAAGAACACATTCAAATCTATATTATGTAAAAAAATCAAATTTGTCCGAAGCAGGGATAGTGCTCATTTAGATTGATGAACTTCGTTCTCCAAACCGAGAATCGTCCTTTATTATAATGTCTGTCAACCAGGGTCCCTAATATAAATGATGTCATTTTTGTTTCAAAACAGGTTTTCCAAAACTAGTAAGAACGAAATTTTATTGTCAACTTTATTTACATAAACAAACTTGTTTTGTGAAAAGTTTATTTCTTTCTCTGATTCTGCATTGAGAGCATGTCCATTAGTACTTGCAATTGATCCATATACACCTGTTATCAGTATTACTGTAAATAACAAGGTCATTAATTATCCCATCGAACGAAGTTCGGAGGGATATAGGGAACGCCTCCGTCCGTCCGTCCGTCCGTCCGTACGTCCGTCCGTCCGTCCGTACGTACGTCTGTCCGTCCGTACGTACGTCCGTCCGTCCGTCCGGGCAATTACTCAAATACAGTTGGTCCGATTTTGTTCATATTTTGTACACATATACCCTATGAGAGTAGAAGTTCTGCTCGAGAGCCGATTTTCAAAATGGCCACTCATTTCAAAATGGCGGCCATTTTAGTGCCGAATTTACAGTAATTTAGGTGCAATATGTAAAACTGTAATAGCAATATGTTTTAGATGTAAAAAAATTATATAGGACATTGATAAAGCTAGAAATGTAGATATTAAAGAAGCACATGGCAGCCATCTTGAAAAATGGCGGTCTTTACTCGCCATTTTACGATTTTTGCTGTAACTCGAAAAGTAGTGGAGCGATTTTGTTCATATTTGGTATGTGAATACTATAAGCATGACACACTGTCCTATGACACTTTTGGTAGAAGGCGGCCATTTTGAAAAAAAATTTGAAAAATAGCCGCTATTTTAACGTATTTTACTATAACTCGAAAAGTAGTGAAGCGATTTTGTTCATATTTGGTATGTGAATACTGTAAGCATGGCACACTGTCTAATGACACTTTTGGTAGAAGGCGGTCATTTTTCAAAATGGCCGCCATTTTAACGTATTTTACTATAACTCCAAAAGTAGTGGAGCGATTTTGTTTATATTTGGTATGTGAATACTATAAGCACGGCACACTGTCTAATTGGTAGAAGGTGGCCATTTTGAAAAATGGCCACCATTTTAACACATTTTTCTATAACTTGAAAAGTAGTGGAGCGATTTTGTTCATATTTGGTATGTGAATACTATAAGCATGGCACATGGTCTAATGACACTTTTGGTAGAAGGTGGCCATTTTTTTGCTATATCCTTTGTTTGTAAAAATGCCAGCCATGGCTGTTCGATGGGATTCGCTACGCTTTGGCGTTGCCGTTTTTCTGGTTGGCTATTGATTTGATCTAGACTACTTCAACTGATACGTTTCCTGTATCTAACAACACTGATTGATTTATTGGAATTCTGTAATGCAGTGTTTCTAAGGGGTGATATATTGGTATGGCCTCAATTGTTTTTTGTGAATGGCAATCGATGTCATTTTCAGACAATGGATTCTTTTTTTGTAGACATTTGCATGTGATAATTTGAATGTAAACAACTCTTTTTTTCATAACATGGGAGGCGGGGGGACAGATGGCCAATTTCTAAAATTGGAAAGTTGTTAAAGCACTCTTTGGTTGAAACCCCATTCAGTTTTCTGTAAGTTAAAATGATGGTTTCTGCAAATGGAATGAAAATGGTCAATTCCACAAGTTTTTTTTGGAATTTGTTGTCAAAAATGTTAAAAATATATTCACATTATTCTGTCAATTGAAACTTTTTTGTTAATTTTTTTCCAGATAAAAAATTTAGCCAAACTGAAACGTATGAAGAAGAAAAGCTTGAGGAAGATTGTAAAGAGGTGACCAACATAAAAAACAAGATAATAAACATTGAGTATGAGGAGAACTGGTGAAGGGCAGAGCCTGATGTATGTTAGAGCCCTATGAAGAACAGAGCCTTGTGCATAGCAGAGCCTCATGTACAGCAGCCTTTTCATTTAGTATCATGGGGAAGTGATCCTCATTCTAGAAAGACTTAATGTTGGCAATAAGGAATATTTTAGTTTGTAAATAAATAAATACAGTTTGAATATATACTTTATATGTACTCTATCTATTGATGTTCTATATATTGTTCTATTGAATAGCTGAACAAGGTAACTTTGATTGTATCACATTTACAAAAATCCTTGCAAACGGTAGGCTACAAACAGATGTATAAAATAATCACAGGCTTTTAAGTGGGGACTTTAAGACTACAAATTCTCCACTAAAGACTTTGAAAATATCCCTGAAGGGAAAAATGATCAGCTTTAAAATCTAGTTTGAATTCTTCAGTTAAGTGAACAGTTTTTGTTATGTCACCACAACAAGTGGTGACATATTGTTAGTGGTGACATATTGTTATAGTCTCCAACTTTATTTTGGACGGTGTTCAGCATTTGGTGTTTGGCATCTGGTGGTCAGGTTCGAAGTTTGGTGTCTGTAACAAATGACAGGTGGTGACATTTTGCATGTTGATGCCGTGTCTATAATTATCTGTATGAGATAGAAAACATCAAAATGGTAAAATAAAGTGATAACTAAAAGCAAGTGTGAAATTGTTAATTAGCCCTTTCATCTCTATCAGGTTTATGTGTAGAGTTTATATTTCAGAAGGATGTCCTTCTTTGACCTTGATATCAGTTTTACATTGATCTTCTTTCACAAATAAATGGGTCAAATATTGCGAAATTGAATTTCAATTGAAAACTCCATGCTGAGAGGCACTGTTGACATTATCATTACTACGTTGCATTACTCATTTACAACGTTTCAACATCCACCCAGATATAAGATCAGGCTTATCTATTTTTTATTTTCATGGTAAAACAAAGATGACAATCACTTTCCATTTTTGATTTCTAGGTGTTTTACTGCTGCGTAGCCTTTGTTTTCCAACTCCCATGACAACAGCCACTTCGTGTCACTTAGGAAAGAGAGGCAATGCTGCACTTGGAGAGCTTTAATAATCTAAATTATGAATTAATAGACACTAATAAATTGCGTTTCAAAAGCAACTAGAATGTGATGCAGGGTTATGTTACCTTTCTAATATATTGCCCGATTAGCAAGATTAACAAAGCTATCAATCTTAGAATTTCAAAACAATTTCATTCTCACCCAATAGACTAAACAGGATCATTACATCGACGTGTACATACAAGAATACATCATGACATTAGATATCGGAATCCATTAAATTAATCACTAAATTGGAAACAACCTTACTTAAAACAAGGACATTGATACTCAAACACACTTATGTCATTCTTGTATTTATTGACATGGCGATGCTGGTGGCAACACGACCATTGAATAATTTGATAAAGTGACATGCGCCGTTTACTGAATAGTAACGCAATACTAGGACTTGGGGAGAGGACGAGATGGAGGACATACTGAAATATAATCTAAACACTCTGCTTGATTACATCAGATAATGAGTCTGGTTGACATTTACCATAGAAAACGTAGATATTCGAATCTTAATAATACGACGAATGCATGCCGTCCCATAGCAGTTTTTCGTAGCATATTTAAACTAATTTCTTGGAGGATTTTCACCATAGTCGTTAACTCCATTACATAGTCATTAGTCAGGTTGTGCATATTCTCCGATTTCAATGTCATCACAAAACGACATATTTGCACTCTTCTTTTATCTTCGAATTCCAAGGTGTTATAACACAACATTGGAGCAACTGAAGCTTTGTGAATCAAAATGGTCTTCTTTACAATAGCGATGAACTCAAATTGCAAATAATCATGATAACGCCGTCGTGTGGTGTTATGCCTCGGTCACATTTGCTCCGATCCATTGGCCGGCGCCCAGCCGATTGAGTGTTTTGTTCAATATATTGTATTCAATTCTGAACAAAATACTCAATCGGCCGGGCGCCGTAGTGAAAATCGGAGCAAATGTGACCAAGGCATAAGGTGAATAATTTTATAACTTAACTTATTCACATTCCTTTAAAGTGTTTGGATTATAATTCAACCGTATCTGCACTTTCGTTCATTAAAAGTTAAATGACGACGGAGATATCAATGAGCAGACTACAACTACACCAAGGCTCAAGAAATCAGGCTGTGTGGACCACCTGAACGACGCAGATGACGAAGATGGCATATCAAACGTATACTACTGCTTTATTATGCGTATATCTTGTATCTGTTCCAATAAGGACCTGTCAGGCCAAAGGTAACATAACTTTTCTAGCTTTTTTCATATACATAAACAACGGAATAAATTAAAGTGACCATTCTACATATTTTAGGATTTTAGATTACGGTCGGGGCAATAGCGAGTAGTTTGCGATAGTAAAATACTTTTAGATATAAATTCTACTTTGGGATTAAATGTAAATCTTTAAATAGAAAATTGATGTAAAATGGTTTTAAACTTGTAGAAACTTCTACTGTAGTCATGATTATGAATCATTATGTTAAACCTCGGTCATATTTGCGCTGCATCGACCGTAGTTCCATGAAATCGGTAAATTTCTGAGGCAACCCTAGAAAATCTACGGTCGCCTTACGGTCTGTCTCTCGGAGCTATAACATTTCTATGCTCATCGCAGATAAACAAGCCGAACCCAAACCGTACTTGGGCTTCAAGTTCGCCTTACGTCGGGTGACGATCGACTTTTGGCTACCCTAGGGATTTATTGGTTAAAGTTGAGTTTTGCGAACGGCAATTTCAATTAAGGCGACCGTAGGATCGCCGGAGGGGGCCATTGCGGCCACCCTGTGTTTGCCTTAGTATTTGCCAATGAACTGTGCCCGCCGTAGGGATGCCATATGGTGACCGTGTATCGTCATTTAAAAGGCCGTACGGCAACTGCAGATTCGCTGTCTACACAAAATCAAAATACACCGTACGGTTACCGTACAAATGTGACTGTTGAAGTATCTGAGAGTAGAATTTCCACGACAGTTGTGGAATTGCTATTGGCCGTGGAAATAATTGACCGTGAGGTCGCCGTATCAAATGTGACTGAGGTTTTAACAATGTAGTCGTCACTTTTCTGTTAGCAATGTAGTCGGTCACCTTTCTGTTGGTATAGTAATAGTCATCACTTTTCTGTTAGCAAGCGATGAAGTCTTCTCTTTTCTGTTAGCAATGTTTTCGAGAAGGGAACAGATAGAAGGTTCTGAGGTCTCACGATGCGATTAATGACGATTTCGCCCGACCCTTAGCTTTCCGGATAATTTCATAATTTAAGATGATTTTGAAATTGTTTGTTTTAGTGGTTGTGAACAACCAGACATTCCTGTCCCACGAGCAGCGACTATTGCATGATTTGTTCAATGTATCCATGTACGACACCAACGCGATTCCCAGAATCAACCCCAGTGATACGGTCGATGTGACCTTGAGGTTTTCAGTCAAGCAGATTGATGCTCTGGTAAGCAATTATGATCTAGAATCAATCCCAGTGATACGGTCTTTATTCTTTATATTACTACCATAGCAACGACATCGACACATTTTAAATACTAGATATAGAATGACTTATTCCTATGTGTCTTTCCAAAAAATACAAGTGAATTGAAGAATATCCCGCGACTTCTCAGACTTCCAGAGGATATAATAGGCCTTTATTAACTCAACTATGTTATATGGCTAGATCTCCCCACCTATATACTTGGGGGGCCAGATGAACCATATTCTGACAAAAATATCACCCTCACATGAAATACTAGTACTAGAAATATCTACTAGTAGATGTTAATTTCCTTTTCAGAGGGAGAAGGACCAACTATTGACAATAACCGGATGGGTGGAAACGGTAAGTTTTGAACTACAAGGCGCCACTTGGTGTCACTCAAACATTTGCCTTGAAGTGCCAAGGGGTCTCCGTGGTATCACTCATACATTTGACTTGAAGTGTCATCGGGTCCCCGTGGTATCAATCCAACATTTGACTAAGTACCGTCGGGTCTCCGTGGTATCACTCCAACATTTGCCTTGAAGTGCCATCGGGTCTCGGTGGTATCACTCCAACATTTTACTTGAAGTACCATCGGATCCCAATGGTATCATTCCAACATTTGACTTGAAGTGCCATCGGGTCCCCGTGGTATCACTCCAACATTTGATTTGAAGTGCCATTGGATCCCCGTGGCATCATTCCAACATTTGATTTGAAGTGCCATCGGGTCCCCGTGGTATCAATCCAACATTTGACTTGAAGTACCATCGGGTCCCCGTGGTATCACTTCAACAACTGCAAGTGCTCCGTTTTATCACTACAAGAATTGGTTACACCTTTTCACAATACGGCAACAATTAACCATTTGGTTTGAAATATGATCATGAGCCACAGGTGTACATGTGCATATTCTACCACTTCACTATATTTCATATGATGCGTGTTTTGTAGTACTGGTGGGACGAGTTTTTACAATGGGACCCATCCGAGTATGGAGGCGTTGAAGAAATATACTTATTGCCCCAAACGATATGGTTGCCTAGATGGGCTCTCTTTAGTAGGTACTTGGAATTAATATACTTATGAATACATGTAGACTAGTGTATTGTTGGGTCAATGCAGTACCTGTGACTATCACCAGTCGGCTGCATCGTCCTAGACTGTAAAAATCGATCTGTAGGTGGTGACATTTTTTCCTGTTAACAGCCGTTTGTATCATCATCTTACGTACGTATTGTATGACGTAGGCCCTCTATGTATTTCCTATTTTATTTGTTGTAGTCCAGGGGAGGTTTTCCAGACAGATCACTATAGAAATTTTCAAGTGAGTGTTTACTATGATGGCTGGGCATATTGGGACCCAGGTAGGAACATTGTTTTTATTTCACCGCCCCAAGTGTTGACATATTGTTATAATCTGCAAATTTTTTTGGACGGTGTTTGGCTCTTGGTGTTCGACGATCAGCGGTTGGTGTTCGACGGACGGCGTCTGTAACAAATGGCAGGTTGTGACATTTTGCATGTTAATGTCTCGTTATATATCCCGATTTGATCAAACATTTAAAAGAATTCAAGATGCAGAATTTTCCAAAATTATTAAATTATATTGTAATTATATTGCATATTTTTATTAGGTGGTGATTTCTCGACCATTTGTCCGGTTAATATTAAGTACTACCCTTTTGACGAACAAGTTTGTACGTTTGTGTTCAGCAACTGGGCATACACGGGATTGAAGGTGAACTTGACCTATTCAACACCTAACATAGATTTAGAGGTCTTCTCCAAAAGCGGCGAGTGGGACGTCACGGAGGTATAGTAAACTGGTTGGGGGGGGGGGGGGGGGGGGGGCGTTTTTCCATTGATAGAAACATCGTAAGGTAAAACCAACCCTATGGTTTAACAGAAGAATTGATTTGAATTTTTTATCTTTACCGACACTGAACTGTTAATGACGTCGTATCAGATTCCGGAGAAAAAGTGGGCGTTGCACCAGTAAGTGCTGCCAAAGCAGAGCCGCCCAAACGTTTACCCATTTCTTTCAGTAATATACAAATCAACTTTATTTTCCATGTACAAAAAAGTAGAACTCAATTGATGACAATATAACTTCAAAAGTGTATCAGTAACTTTTGTGCCACTGTTACGTATTGATAATGTGGATTATGATAATGGATTTGGAAATCATACCTTCTTTGGAATTTTCAATTTCGTCCTTATTAGATCACCCATGACATATAATGATGAATAATGCACAACTTATATGTTATATTACTTGTATATTTCTATACCTAAGGAGATAGTTGATTGCTTAATAAGATATTAAATAAATGAATTATTTCAATTAATATAATTTAGACAACTGGTTCACGCCTGGATCGCTATTACAGTGACTATCCGGACCTACCCTACCCCGAGGTCCATTACTCCATGATGCTCAAACGCAAACCTCTGTTCTATGCCATTAATGTCGTTCTCCCAGTCATGCTTATTGCGAGTCTGACACTTTTGGTATTTTGGCTGCCATCGGACTCTGGTAAGCAAACTCTGCAGACTATTAATTTTGCGTAATCTTGCACTCATTGTCTTGATTCCACAAAATGACCAAATACTTTTCGAGAAAATAATAAAAAACACATTTAACTCTAGTCTTTGTGCTAGAATTAATTAGACATTATGTCACATTAAACATCAATTAGTCAATTTGTTTTGATGTTTTCTGGGAATTTGGATTCATAATTAAAATAAAAAAGTGATATCAGATATGAGTCCTATTTTGAAATTGAGGCCAATAAGGTCAATTTTGGCTGAAAATGAAAGAATAGATTGTTATGTATCTACAATCTCCATCTGTATTTTTATTACTTTCAGGTGAGAAGATGTCTATGGGTCTGACAATATTACTGTCTTTCTCTGTATTCTTGCTTCTCATTGTCGAGAACATTCCTAAGACATCGGAGTCCACGCCCCTTATAGGTAACCACTGTGTTATGAAACATCTGCACTCTAAATATGTTGAAGCCCTCAACAGTTCGCCTGTCACCTACCACTTTACGGTAACCTTATTTGATGCACAGTTGTGTTTCATCTTGATTTCAGTTGTGTTAAATCTTGATTTCAGTTGTGTTTCAGTTTCGATGATGTTCCATCCATTTCCTTTTTGATTGTTGACCATCTCATCTCTTCAATTGTGTTTCATCTCAATTTCAGTTGTGTTTCTCACCAGCCTCATGAGTATCACGACAGCCTCAGTTGGAATCTGCGTCATCGTGCTTCATTTCCATCACTACGGCACCCCAAACCACAGACCACCGCTTCTACTGGTGAAGTTAATCTCTATCGTGTACAAAGACCCGACACTAGCGAAACTTTGTCGAACCTCTAGTGTGGATGCAATGACGAACGCGTCTTCAAAGGCCGCGACTTTGAAGGTTTCGACTGTTTCTATGGCTGACAAACTTGGCAAGTTGAATGAAGATACAGCAATTGGTTCAATACGAGAACTATTGGAAGAAATTGTTGAATCCAACCGCAGTAAAGCGAATGCTAACGAGCGTTTAGAGGAATGGAGGGCAATTGCAAGGGGCATCGATAGGTGGCTCTTTTGGTTTAGTCTCGTTTTGATGATCGTATTTGCCATTATACTACTGGGAATATATCCCAACACTAAACCAGTATTGGCAAGGGACAATCTCACATAAGAAACATGTCCATTGACCAATATTTCTGAAAAGGGGCAGGAATCATTTATTGGTTTTACCATTCAAAAGCTTTTGATGTGGGCTTTCAGTTTTTAGTAAGATTTATATTTGTAACTTGTAAGAAAGCTGTTAGTCCCGTATTTCCGTTAGTAAGCTGTTAGTCCTGTATTCATAACAAAGATGACTGTAGGCCATTAAAGCACTCATCTAAGGACGTTTTAACAGAAAGGGATCTTTGTTGCTAAGTTTATATATGTGACACTTTTCATCCCGACTGGCTTCATCTTTTACACGTTGTTAGATTAACAAATAAAGGGAATGTGGCCGGCTGGGGTATGGAAATTGCTCTGATTATCTAAATGGTAACCGGACAACTCGGACCCAGGACAACTCGGACCCAGGACAACTCGGACCCAAGACAACTCGGACCCAAGACATCTCGGACCCAAGACAACTCGGACCCAAGACAACTCGGACCACTTTTTGAAATTATGATATTAACATCATCATATGGGGTTTTAATTTTTTGTTTTTTGTTTAGATGGCATATATTATATATTCTGAATTGATTTAATATGTTAATTTGATGAAATTGTTTTTAATAAACTTATTTGATGGGAGTTAAGAAGAAAATATTGAATCTAAAGACCCAAGACAACTCGGACCACTTTTTGAAATTATGATTTTTATGGTACCATTTTTATTATCTATTGTTTTTATTTTATTTTTTATGTTTAGTGTGACATATATGCATATTGTGAATTCAGATATAGTCTTAATTTAATGTAATTGTTTTAAATCAACTTAATTGGTGAGATTAAGAAGAAAATATTGAATCTAAAGACCCAAGACAACTTAGACCACTTTTTTTAAATTATGATTATTATTATGGAATTATGATTTTTATATCATTAAATGAATCATTAATATCATTAAATTAAATTGAATCTAAAAACCCAAGACAACTCGGACCACTTTTTGAAATGATGGTTTTTTTAAATTTTTTGTTTTATGTTTAGTATGGGTAACCTCAGTATGCCATATATTGTGAATCACATTTCATAAGAGATTTTACATAAAAATAATGTCAGGTAGGTATGTTGTTTTTGGTTATGGTGCAGTCGGGGAATTCATTGATAAAAAATTGAAAAAATCAAGGCATCAATCCTTCAGTGAGATTAAGATTGAATGATCAAAAAATTGAGGATTTAGAGAATTTAAACTTTCTATTGATCTCAATGTAATGTGACATTGATCTTTCAGTGAGATTAATAATATGACTTCAATGTGGTGAGTAGAAATGAGATAAGAAGATTAGGATTAAAATTATTAGTGTTGTTAATTCCTTGGTGACTTTCCATTTGAGTTGGTATTAACTGTATGCAACGACTCATTGGCATCTCTTTATACAAGTAGTACACCTGGCGTTTGATATGGTTTAATAAAAATAAGATTTTTCTTTTATATAGCATACAAACATGTCACAAGTGATTTAAACTGCTAAAATGACAATTGCTATAATTTCAAAAATTGGTCCAAATTGTCTTGGGTCTTCAGACTTATTATCCTCTTACTGGTCTTACTTCCCAACTCTCATCAAATAAGTTAATTGAAATATCTTCATCAAATACATGTAAACACAAAATGTGAATTCACAATATATCTAAAATATGTCATGCTAGATTAAAACAACTAATCCAATATTATGATAACAAAAAGGTACCTAACAGAAACTATCATTTCAGAAAGTGGTCCGAGTTGTCTTGGTTTTTTAGCTTCAAGCTTCTACTTAACTTTTATCAAATAAGTCATATTAAAACATTTTCATCAAACAAATTAGTACAAAATATGTATTCACAATGTATAATATATTTAATACTAAGCATAAAACAAAATAATACCACAAACAATGATAAAAAACATTATTTTAAAAAGTGGTCCGAGTTGTCTTGGGTCCGAGATGTCTTGGGTCCGAGATGTCTTGGGTCCGAGATGTCTTGGGTCCGAGTTGTCCAGGGTCCGACTTGTCCTGGGTCCGAGTTGTCCGGAAACCCATATACACGTCGCACGAAACTGGGGACAATAGACTAGATGCGAGTAGAAATACTCTTGATTTACGTCATTAAATGTTCAAAATTCAGTCAAAGTGATGTCGTATTTGAAATCAACATGTTAAAGTACGTCTAGAAATATAGTTTCGAAAATTGTTTTTCAACTTTGATAATTTAATTTTTTTGAAAATGTGACTTCTAGTTTGGGTCGATTCCCCATAGACCCAATGTTACAAAATCATAAAAAGTGAAATATTTTCTTTTATTGGACAGATAACATTTTCTTTTACTCGGCATATTTTTATTTGCATAACTATTAGATCCATAAGGGTTATATGAAAGTTGAACCACTAAAACAGGTGTAATTTAAGTTAAAGGGAACTTTCTACTATACCCGCCATGTTATCTGACCCGAACGAGCCACCTGGTGGTGAAACTGGTAACTACTTACTCGCATCTGCGTCATTAGCATAACATTATGGCGTCAAAATACCAAAACAAAACAATGGGCAGTATAGGGCGAAAACAGCCTTATAACGTCAAAAACGACAAGCGTTAAGCCCGGTATACACCAATGGGGCAAAATCCCACTTGCCCCATCGAGTCCCATCTTGCCCCATCGAATCCCAATTTGCCCCATCGAATCCCACGAAGTCCCATGGGACCTTGATGACTTTTCCCCATCGTGCCCCATGGAGTCCCATCAATATCGTCAAATACTCTGTAAGGCAGATATTAACGCTTAAAGCTGAGATTAGCCCGTATTTCCCGAATTGTCCCCAGGTCCGTGCGCGTCATAAAAGCATTTTCTTGGGGCTTGTTTTAAATGCGTTACTCTGCAATGGAGACTATTAAGTCACCGTAAAGGTTACCCCACCTTGACACAGTATCATCGAACTATATTTCCATTATGGTTCCCGATGTTTTAAGATTCAGATACGAACTTAATTACTTGATGCTAACCTACGTTACTCCCCGGGTATGATAATGTTGACAGAGGAAGTTACATAAGTCCATTTTCACTGTTTTAAACAATTGGAAGTTGTTTGACCTTCTTTAGACTTGGTATAAAAAAAACAAAATTGCTATCCGACCATTAACAATTTGATGAAATATTTGAACCTATAACGAGCACAATATGAGATAAATAATTGCACAAATAAAACTCAAACTAGTATGAAAAATATATATTTCTTGTTTTGTTGTTCCTTGATAGATTGAGGGCTAATGCTTGTTTTTCTGCAACAGATCATGATACAACATAGTCCGTACTGAAGTCAAAATCAAGTCCCCTGTGTTCAATCATATCTTTATAAGCTGCCTTAATAGCCGACATCATGCTGTATTCTAGTTCAGTTAGACCCAACGCCGTCACAATGCACCTTTGGAGGCCTAAAATATATAGTGTGTAACATCAAACTTCGTCAGGATATACATGCGAGCGTATCATTTGGAGCGTCAACACGATATGCTTGTGCACCCCCAAAATATATTGAGAATTATCATGCGTCATATTGAGAATTATCATGAGTCATCACGATATTCCTGTGCACTCTAAAACATATTGGGAATTTATTGTACAATATCACGCGTCATCCTGTACAGGCATAAAACATATTGTATTATCGAATAATCTGTAAATTGAAGCCTTCTGATTGGTCAGTTCATGTGCTGTACCAATCTGTATTGCTACTGAGATTGTCCCCGTTGATCATCTCCGTCGCAATACAGAAAATATTGGTACGGAGGGGATAATCTCAGTAGCAATACAGAGGATGACACGATAAAAACGTTATTGAATGATTTGAAGTGCAATACAGGATATATTCTGTCTCGATATTCTGTATTGGCACTCGACTTCATCTCGTTCCAATACGGAATTTCTCGAGCAGAATATATCCTGTATTGCACTTCAAATCATTCAATAACTTATAATATCATGCGTTATCACGATATTTCTGTTCACCCCTAAACATAGTGAGCATTGTCATCCACCTAGTTTGTTGACCCCATTTTTTGAAAAACTAGTGTATGTTACGCGGTATATGGCATACATTCATGGTTGCGCGGTATTTGTGATACGGGTGAATATGCCATACTCACCTGCGGTATATGGCATATTCCGCAGGTGAGTATGAAATATTCCGCAGTGAATATGCGATACATTGATTTCAGTGAATACCCGATACTCACCTGCGGAATATGTCATACTCACTTGCGGAATATGCCATATACTGCAGGTGAATATGACATATACCGCAGGTGAAAACGTGATACAGAAAGCCTTGATTTGATTGGTTGCGAGAATCGACTCTAAATGTAAAACTACGCTGGATAACCAATATAGTTAGTGCGTCGAGTACTAATATATGAATCCTGGATTGGTTGAGTAAGTTTATTACACGAGATTGGTGACTGATACTTCTGCTAAGTTAGTAAATTCGATACACAGTACTGTTGATTCAGTAATCATTATAATAATTTATATCGTTTTACTTGTTCGTTCAATCGATGCAATTGACAATTGCGTATCACGTTCTCATTGGTTATTGTGTATGCCATATACCGCAGGTGAATCTGTCATACACCGCAAGTGAATATGCCATATTCGTTGCGGAATATGACATATTTTTTGTATCGTGTTTACCGCGTAACAGTGTTGTAATTAAATGTTTCCCGATGTATCGGGAGTATGATGAGCATATTGGGGAAGTAGTAAAAAATGTTGAGAGACGACAAAATAAAAGCTACACCTACCTAATTTTGGGGATTTTTTTGCGACATTACGTGTTTACGTGACAAAAATACTCTATGCGTTTCCAACCCCTGATATTACATTTTGATAATTTAGCAATCAGATAATAGAACGCGTAGTCTCATTAGACCTGTGCGTAGCTTGTAAAATATCAAAAATATTGCGTACACTATCAAGCATCCCCATTCCCCACGACAAGCCTGTGTGCGTCGATGATGTTAAATATAGCATCTGTATAGCCATGGGCTTTATCAAGCGTCAAAGATACATTGCAATAAAGCCCTATCGTGAGGTAATAACGATAATTTAGATGAATTTCTTCACACACGTTACCTTACCAATTTTAAAGTCTCGTTGTAGTTTGCAAATCTCTTCCATTGTGTTAACTATAATATTGCAGTTCAACTCTAGGCTTGTGAGATTCTTCATCTTTGGAAGCATTTCTAAGAGGGAGGAGTCGATCAACTCATGTGTGTTCACCAGATCAAGGTGACAATATTCTGGAATGAGACTAATTTAACATTCTTAGTGCCATGAGAATAGTTATCCACTTAGCTATAAAAATATCCATATCCATAACGTAAATTATTGAAATATTGTTATATCTAAATGGAATAAACAGAAATTAAAAAGCTTCCTAGCTTCATTACATTATGTCCAACCAAGCGGGGCGATTACAGGACGTTCTGTTGGGTGAATCAACTTAACTGACCGAGTATGCGCTTTTTAAGTTTTAATAATTATCATACTAAATAGTATATGATTTTCAAGTGATATTAAATAACAGCTCTTCCAGATTTAGGTGACCTAGACTGATCAACTCCTTTGTAGAAATAACATTACCTAATGTTTTTGAGAAAAAGCCAGCGATATGCATTACCAACTGATTAAGGTGCCATTCATCTTCGTGGTCACTTCCTGAACGAATGTAGAGGTACGTCAGCGGCATTTTGGATACAAGGAGGCGGGACAATTCACTATAGCGACCTGAAAGAGTATGCCCAACAGTAAGGAAACTAAAGAGGCACCGTGTCAAAGAGTACCACTTGATATTTTTGCATTATTGCATATTTTTGCATTACTTGCCAACTTGACTCTCATGCCATGCGTCGGCCTTTGTCTTCGATACTAAATAAAACATCGTTAACTCTAAACAGATGAACACCGATATGTATCTTCAAATAAATAATTGAAGCGTAGTGATATGACTTCTTCTTTTAGGTTTTGCGAGTTGGACTATTTTGACAAAAAATGATTCCAGCCAGTAAAATTATGGGTTCAAATCCAAGCGGTGATTTAAGTTTTTTGTTGTTTTCTTCATTTTGTATACCTCATGTAATTTCAAAAGCTTAAAATATAGACTATTTTCGTTCTATGCTGACAGTTGGTTGTTGATTTGGCTGTTGATTTCCTCAATGTATCGGTAATACTGTGCCCATAAGTTGGTCTCAAGATCAAGATATATCGAATTATAAGATATGTAAGGTAATTTAGGAGCAATTATAAAGGGACATCGCTGATTGTTCTTGGGGAGAAACCTAGAAGACAATACATCTTTAATGCAAACGTCACGAGTGCAAAACACTAGTTAGCTTGCTGAGTATCTTATTTGTGACGATGCTTTGACATTCTTTGCAGATATTTAAGTTGTATCTTGGAATAAATCTTGGTTTAGTATTCCCAGGTTGTATGCACACTGGGGTGGATACAGGATATAGTTTATTTTTATTTTTTAATACCGGAAACTTACCAATGTACCAAAACGACATTTCTACATTCACGTAGGGACTTAATTTTGTAACTGCTTTCCATGTTTCCTTCTCAATTTGGTGATGATGTGGGTCGTACCTATGTACCTTAATTCTCAAGAGTTTCAGTGTAGTTCCGCAAGAACTACTTATTGCAAGAAGTAGGTCGTCACTCACACAGTTGTAGTTCAGTTGGAGAACCGTTAAATTGTTGAAACGGCTCATTGCGCGTTGAAACCGTTGATTATTTCTGGCATCTGATCTTGATTGGAAATAATCTGTTAGGTTTAAGTCCTCTAGACTGTTCTTGGCACCCTCTGCTAGAGCAAAAAGCAGCCTGCATCCACCAGGAAGTGATACCGAGGCAGAAGACATGTCGAATACTCTCATTGCTCTTTGATGACGGAAAAATCTTGCAAGAGAACAAAATAATTTTTGTCTTATGAAATCGAACCGCCAGTATCTGTCGATGTCAAGATGAAGTAACCTGAATTCACGAAGCCTGGCCTTGAGGTGGATATACCCAAGAAAAGTCGTCACCGTCTTTTGAAAGCGTTTACAAATATTATAGGAAGGGTGATAGCAGTATATTTTAATGTAGCGTAGGTGGGCTCCATGTTTTTTGGAAAACCCCAGTGCTTTTATTTGCTCATTTTGGGGCATGCCAGTCAAATTATATGTTCTTCTCCTCCACAGGCAAGCGGTTTGAAAGAGATTATAAAGTCGTTTACATGTCAAGGCAAGGCGACTACGGTCTATGTCACGGAAGAGAAACATGTAAATACGTAACATGACAGTATCTGGCATTTGCGACCAATCATGACCTTCGGAGCAGTCTTTAAATGCTTCATCTTCGTGTTCAATGTCATTTGCAGCTTTTAATGTGTTGTGTGGGTAAGATGTTGTTGCTTCATTAAAATCGCTTTCAATAGGTTGATTGATATCCCCACTATTTGCACCTTCGACCGATGTGATCCCAGTATCAAATCCTTCTTCTGATGGTTGTAAATTTGATGATGACGACGTTGGAATTTCGTCCATCACTTTGACTTACAAGGTCAAGTAGGTTTATTTTCACGTGCCCCATCACATATTTGATAATTGAATCACTATCTTGTCACGCTCGCATATGTTTTCATTTAGATGTTACATATTTGGCTGTTGCTATTGAAACAATAATAATATCACCATAGGTACACATGGAAAGCCATGACGTCACTTTTATTCATACCTCATATACGTCACAAAAAGGTGTCAAGATGGCGATGGTTAGAAAATTATGCTCGTGACTTCTCAATTGCTATTTTCATATCTGCGCGAATTTTGGCCTGCACTGCTGGAAATGTTTCGGATATCTCAGCGCCAAAGCGAAAGGAGATTGGCGGACCATTGGAAACATCTACCTGATACAGTTCTCATAGATGTATTTCTTTTACTTCAAGACTCCGATCGCAGTGCTCTCGGTCAAGTTTGCAAACGATTCAATCAGCTCTTTAAATCCGCACGCCTTTGGAGACGGCGTGAGTTCGATCTCACGTGCATGTCAGTCGCTGATGAAGAGCGTATGCTTGGCTTTGGGAGGAACCACGCAGCCCATCTGCGCCATCTGATATTGAGCTGTCGCCATCCTTCATACCACACGTGTACACGTTTCCAGAAAACGTTGACAACCTTTCTGAATTTTCTTTTTAGCAAGACAGAACTGTTAGAATTCAGTATGGAGCACTTAGAATTTGAGTGCTATTGGAGGTATTCAATATCGAGGGATCGTTTGCTGACATCACTCAAAAGGTTCGTAAGGACCCAGCGGAAGCTACTTCTCTTTGATATGACCCGTGCTTTATTCAGCGCAGATGAAGGCTGTGAGCTTATCCAGTTACTTGGAAAATCAAGTGGACAAACCTTGCAAGAACTTTACATCGAAGAACTCTTTGTGAGATCTTCCAGAATATTCCGGAATCCAATATATTTGGAGAGCGTAGCAAAGTTCAAAAGTCTGATCTCTCTTCACATCAGTTATAACGCAATTTCTGAAAACACCCTCGTAATAATTGCCCGAAATTGTGGCGAAACACTCGAACACTTAAAAATCAAGGTGCACAAACACACGTTTAGACAACATACTATCAGTCGGTATGTTTGGAAAGATATTGCAAAAATGTGTCCACGACTTGAAGTGTTCATTGAGTTCTTATGTGTTGGGAATAACGTGGAACTGTTGCGCATACTGTGCCCGTCCATTCCCTTAATTGATTTAGACATTGATAGTGGCTACAACCACGAACAACACACATGGCGACTGAGCAATACTTTAGAATACGTCAGTGACACATACTCAAAATCTTTAGGTAGGTTTTTAACAGCCCCGTCTCGTGGCAATTGCCCAGTGTCCAATTGTAATATGCTAGCAGAAGGAGAAACAGAACGATCAACATTCATCAAAATATGAAACTGATGAGGGTAATCAATTTTACTGAATCTAAGAATAAAGATCCATCTTATGTAAAATATAGAATGGTTAAATGTTCTGTAATATACCGGGTGGGCGTACATCAACCCTAGCTGCAATGTGCTTTTTGCATATGTTTTCAGAGACACTATGTCTTGAGCTGGACAACCCGAGCGAGAACATAGATGGGGCTTTACGGTATCTCGTTAGAAAGTGTATATTCCTGACGTCGCTTGAGATCAACGCGCATTTGAGCGTCTCTCTGATGGAGGATATCTGTATATTGCAGTCTAATGACAAAATATGTAAGTAAAATAAATATGTAGGTATTGAATAAAGAAACACGATTGTCATCGCTATCGGTCTTCTTAGATATTACTTTCATTTGGAGGGCACAGGGGAGGGCATCGCCACGCTAAAAAATCTAAACAACGTTCATCGTTAAATGATTTCTTCTGTTTTACCGTTCCAGTCTTGACAAAATGCCACATAATTGCATGTAACGTAACACAAGAGGACTATTCACGTATGAAGAGGCTACGCCAGGAATACGTCGAACAGTTTGCTTCACAGGGTTGCGACTTCAAGCTTCGTACAGACTATTTAATGGATATGAATGAGGAGTATGGAATAGCTGCCCTTGTCGATTTTGAGGACGATGATGACTTGATAAATATCCTTCAAGTGTGAATACATGGGAGTTTACTGCAAGATAGCATACGCATGCGCACATCCCCGTCCGAGTTAAAATACTTTTGTAGTCATGTTGACTTCATCTAACCAGAACCAAAATTGAATAACATAATACTTTCAAGCTATCTATATACAAGGGGCGATCCATATATTCTGATAAAAATGCTCTCATTTTGTGATTTTTTCACATATCCCTCTCATTTTTTCAGAACTTGAAGATTATGTTATTATACATACACTGCTAAATTATTATAGCTATATCTTAAATTATTTTTGAGATAAGGTTGCCACGGTAACCTGTATTTAGGGTAGGCAGGTCAGTTAAATTATAACGTACCTGTATACAATAGATAAATTTGTTAATTTAATCATTCCTCGGTACCTATTTCAAGCAGATCAAATGCATATCCAGGTCATTGCCAACTATTCGTTGAACCGCTCCTTACCCCTGTTGCCCTTGTTTGCTATTTCCACAGTGGAATAGTTCTTTTTTCATAAATTGCATCTCAAATCATCGTAGTGTTATTCTCTGTCCGCAAGCTCTTCTTGCAACCGGATTGGGAATGATATTCAACAGTGACTAGCCTTCCTCAAATTTACAATACTACCTAGAGATCCTTAGTGCAGATATAACACCTTGTCCATACACTATACGAGTCCATGTATGTCTCTGGCAGTGTCCTCTTACTTATTCTTGGTAGTACATAAAATCTAATGGTATTCCTAATGTATCTGTTAATGTCACACTCTGCAACAGCCGCACTAACCTCATCTGATCTGTCATTTTGATATTTGGTGTGTCTCATGACATGTAATTCCAATTTGCCCATCCTGTCATACATTGCTATTGTGGGTTGTTGTGATGGTATAGTGATCACAAATAAACATTTGTTTAGCAACAAACAACGAGAAACAATACCAAACTTTTTTTTAGAAAAAATGTATGATTTCCGCATGCTTTAATATAATTAAAATAACAAGTTATTATGATATTTTATACGTTATAATTTAATCGACCTGCCTACCCTTAATCCAGGTTACCATGGCAACCCTATCTCTTCATTAATTTAAGATGTAGCTATAATATTTCAGCATTGTATGTGTAATTACAAAATCTACATTTTCTGAAAATATGAGATGGATATGTGAAAAAATAGCAAAATGAGAGCATTTTTATCAGAATATATGGATCGCCCCTTGTATTTCAGTTATATATCTTGACTTCAACATTGCGAATAAACGTACACACATTTACACGTGTGAATAATGTATGATGGAATGGTGTATCTTATGTTCAGAAAACTAATTTCTCATGAAACGCAAGTAAAGCGCTAGAAATGGAAAAGTAAAAAGTCTTGTATTATATAAAAATAAAAACCATGTGACTATTATGCTCACAGTAATTTATTTATAATTTTTACTGTGTTTGAAATGAACTTTCAATTTACCAACACATTTAATCACATGAGATGATTGTTCATGAACTCCACCAATCTCTCCAAGGACAACTCGTCCGCCGGTTGGTTATAGTTAGTGCCGCCAATCCTATTGAACCCATGGCCTGCACCTCTGTACATATATACCACGTTTTCATTACTTATATTCATCAGTAGCATTTCCAAATTCGCAGCCTCCGCCGGAGAGGAGAATCCCATCGCAGTGTCGTTCTCGCCGAAGTGCCCTTGTACGGGTATGGCGATATTGTTAAGGTCACACCCGCATCTATCCGCATTTGGTATTCCATAGAATGGAGCGGCTGCTGATATGAGATCGGGATCAGTCAATGATGCGGCTGCCAATGTCATCGCTCCTCCGAAGCAGAAACCGGTTACACCAACCTAAAAAACACGCACGGAGTATAGGGAAAGAACCAGACACAACATCAGTGATGAATAGCACAAATGAATAGGACATGGAGGATCATTATATACCAGACATGCAGGGTGAGCCAAAAAGGTAACCCAAATGATTCTTAATAGATCAGTCATCCAGCATTGGTTCTCCATGTAAGTCATATTTGGCACAATTGAACTTTGCCTTCATTCTATTAGTCTATTAGGTTTCATTTGTCTAATCCGATTTGGTCACGATTTGAGCATGTTTTGTAAAATGGTCATAAAATCGTGACCATCTGAAGTAGACCAATGAAACTTGGTGAATTGAAGGAACTTTGATCAAGGTTCAATTCTGCTAAATATGACTTAAAATCCACACTGGTTATTTAGATTTGTTTTGGTTACTTTTTTGGCTCACCCTCTACAACCTTGACTGAATGTGCAATAGTTGAAAAATTGTCACTAAAATGTTAGCTGTTTGATTCTTAAGTAATTGTGGTATACGATAGCAGTTTAGGATGGAGTATCATGTATACCTTTCTAATCCCCCTTGACTTGAGATACCTAGCTGCCCCCTGAATATCCTTGACTGCTCCGTCCCATGAAAGTTCACCGCTAATTTTACGAGCTTCGTCACGATTCTGTGCTATGTCACCTCTGAAAACAAATGAGAGAAATCAAAATGCTTGGACATCATGTCGTTGCATGCTGTTCGTTTGAAGGTCAAGGGCGGTCACGGTTACATAATGTCAATGTCATCTTTACTTTGGAATGACTTGTGATGATTTTGTACAGAATGTGGTGGTTGACTATCATTACGGTCCCTCGTCTTACTTTACCCTATGTTACGTAATGTAACATCAATTTACCTAATTTTGAAAATCTGTTTCAAAGGTCCGAATTTTACAATAATATAGAACTATTTTTCTACTCGTAAAGGATACTCAAATTAAATCTTAAGTTTGAAAATATGTTTTTACCATTCACTTATTCTTTTTTATGACTTTAAAAGTTATTTTAGAGATTTTTGAAAAAATATAAGGGAAAGAGTCAAATATTCAAATTCCCCGCCACTTTTCAAATTAAAGTTGAAACTTTTAATCAACAAATATTCTACTATTCAGTGCAAAATATATTAACTTTTTGACACCACTGTGAAGATTAAACAAATGACGTACTATTTGAATAATAAAACATCATATCCAATGTGCCACTTAAGTGTTTAAGCATATTAAAAAATCTTTGCTCTCTAAATAAGTGACACCATCGTGATGTCATTTAGGGTGCAAAATGTTTTTATTGAATGTTTTTTTTTATTTCAATTTTTTCTAAATATACTAAACTTGCTGAACATGCTAAAAATAAACCAATGTTGATTGTCTAACTAGATTGAAAAGAAGAATATATTGTGTTTTAGATATTATTTTACTATTGGTTCAAATGAGAAGTAAAATTTTGAAATGCATTGATGAATTCTATGGACGGTAACGTATTGTATTAGATCTACATTAGATATTTAGCGGACGGTTACGTGCATGTACATCTTTCAAGTTAATGTTGCTAGTTCTAAAAGCCTCCTTCCATGTAATTGTTATAATGGGTAAGAAATGGAATATTGAATTGCTTATATTTGTTTTCAGGACTCGCAAGAGACGCTCTTGTTTGAGCCTCTATAGGGCAAGGAAAAAATTGTGTCTTGCTTTATTTATGAAACCAGTTTAAGTCAAAAAGATAGCAATGAAGAGGCAAAAGAAGAATTAGCACCAAGTACTGATGAATATGACAAAATTAAGAACAATGAATCTGGGAAACATATTTGAACGAGCTTCGCGTAACCGTCAATCAATTTTTTGCGTAACCGCAAATTAAAAATACAATATTATGGCTTAAGTAGAACATATTATGTGGTTTCCAATGCTCAATTGGCTTTTTATGATCGTATGTAGGTTACATCTATGAACCCCGAGGTCGTTAGGCAATGTAGACCATGCCCTAACGACAACAATAAACAAATTACTAAATTTTGTGTAGTTTTGAATTTCAAACTCAACAGTTTTTAGCTTATTTCATGTTATCCGCGGGCATCAATTTGCAAAGAATACGTTCAAAATATACATTACTAAATGCATCACCGAATGCGATGTCTACAAAAATCGTTCATCCTTTCATTGATACACAGTAGAAGAAAATAATGCACCAACCTTAGTTTTCTGTTCCATCGCGGCCATTTTATTGGATAAATCAGTGATCGTAGTCGTCTTATTTCGTTTTCAGAGGTGTCGTAACCGTCATGCTATAACACCCTGATAATACCCACCTATACAGATCCACTGCAAGTGTCACAAAGTTGCCGAGTTTAGCAATCTTCAAAGCACGTTCAGTTATCTCATTAGTCATTCCTAGATTCTCTTGAATCACAATCACAGCTTTAGTAGATCTCGTCAAATCTCCACTCAAACTTCCGTACATGTGATCAGCTTTTGGGTTCTCAGATGTGAATCTCACAATTTGTTTTTCCAACATCGTATTTGCTTTTGAAATAACATAAAATACGAATCATTTAATCAAAAGTACTGCCAACAGAACGATTCGCGCGCAGTCTTATGTTATTTTAAGAAAAAATGCATAAAACAGCTGAACGAAGTTATACAACTAATGCCTCAGTCATAATCAATCTACGACAACCGTACGGTGGCCGTAGTTACAAAACGTCGAGAGAAATATATGGATAAACAGTACTATGCAGATCATTTCTATACCGAATTTGTGAAGCTACGGCCGCCGTAGAGCAAACTTGACTGAGGCTTAAGGGCGCATTGATGCAGAATCATATATTTCTTTGATTGTATGATTTCTAATCATATTCCAACTGACACTGTCGTCGATGCTGTACCTCATGTCGTATCCGATTCCATCTCGATAAGAGCTACACTATTTGAGTCAACAATCTTTTAGGAATAGAATGGTTTCTAAATAAGTTGTAGATATACCAACCTTCACATTGCATATTGACCGTTGCTTTCAGTTCATCCAATTTACTGTCGATGTCCATTTTCATTTCATCCAAACTCTCCTGTGTCGCTAAAATATCCATCGGCAATTTTACTTTGAAACGCCATTTGTTCCTTGGCTTAGCATTAATAACACCCGTCAAATACACCAACAGAATTCCACCAAAACAGATGTTCATGTTTCCTACTTTTATAGTTTCGTAACTCTCTAAATTAAAGGTCGTTAATTAGTAACAGCTAGCATAAATCAATTGTAAGATCATTAATCACTTAATTGACCATCCGTAACCAAAGTACATACAGATCGATAATGCCGCATGCCTGGATTTTGTTCATTTCCTGAAAAATAACATGTAAACAATGCTCAAATTAAACAGATGAAATGGCCGAGATGTTGATAAAATTCATCCCGTTTGTGCAAAAATCTCATTGCAACAATATAAAACATTTCAAGTTTAATATGAGGCTTCCTTCCGACTATTTATTTATGACGCTTTTTAATTAGTTTAATTCTCGAGAGTCAGTGATCTATTTCTGGGAAAAGTTGTTTTTGGTGGTATGCAGTACCATGCGTAATATGATAGACTCATGTTGTACAACTTTCAGCACGACCCTCTCGATAAGTCCTGATATGTAGTAGAGAATCAGGTTTTCTCGTGCACCAGATTCAGGGTTTAAAACCAGGGATTGTTTCATCTTTTGTCAAAATGTTGATCGAATGTGCAAATAGATTGCAGCATGGGTGTTGGTAGGGCCAGAATACTCAGGAAACATATGGCAAGACTCACTTAATTTTTTGATCTATCAAGTATTTCCATTTGGAAGAAATAAACGCCGGTCACGCTGTTGTACCCAGTCGCTTAGATCGAACGCAACGTCTTAAAATAGCTTGTGAATGTGAAATTTGTTTGCGCGAGGGACTTTATCAAAGACTGCAACAAATGATTTTAAAAATGGGCGGTCCACATGTATCAGATTATCTTTCCTACACGTGTATCTACAGGCAATACAACGTTTTCGGATGTTTGACAACGCCCCTTGAAACCATGCGAGGTTAACTCATTTAAATTTCAGTGAAACGAGATCTTAACGGGTATACAGTCAGATGAACACAGGCATATGAAATCCGCAATCCGCATACAGTAGTTACAGTAAGTTTTTATATGACAATTGTTTTTGTAACATAATATTTTCATTATTTGATACATGTTATGGCCATCTTTCGGATATCCTTGGAGTTTTACAATAAACTGTTAGTGTCCATAATTTTAAATTTTGTCCAGAAGACATCAAGTTCTGTTTGTTCAGGATTTTGCTATCCTCATTTCAAATACTGTATGAATTCCTCATTTCACAAATAATTTTCATCTTTCAATTTTTCGCAGAGAGTGTATTAATATGCCTCATAAGTTATTGTCAGGTACATATACGTCATGCATCTTTCAGTTTTGGACAAAGCGTGCAGAAAATTACTTTGATAATTTAGTTGAGCACTCATAGATATATAAAAAGAGTGGTCTGTATATCTTACATAATTATAGAGGGGAACCCCCTTCAACATGGGTATGACGTAGAGCCGATCTAATCGGCTGTAGCAGTGAAGCAAAATTCTTTGTGAGCCGATGTAATCGGCTCTCGCATACACAATGGTGAGGTCAATGTGTACTTTCGGCCATTTTGATGCAATCTTAAAAGAGGACCCCTCCTTCCCAACGCGTCTATATCTTTCAGATCTGTACAAATATTGCACTAGTGAGGATGTTTTATTTATAAAATGTATGAAAAGTGAGAAAATAGACACCTACTTATTGAAAGTACCAACTAAGTCATTCACTTTATTTCCCATTTTTATACATCTTTTAAAAACATCAACAACCGAATTTCACACAATCAACGACGTTAGTTGCAGCATCTACCCCAGACATATATGCACCATGTGTGTAACCATAGTAACGTGCGTTTGTATGCTCTCCAGCGAAATGCAAATTTCCAATCGGTGCCGTCATAACATCATGATCGTCTTCGTCAAATCCTATTGGCCAGTTGCTATAGGAACCCATCGTAAGAGGATTGTCTAACCACGTATTGACCAATACGGATATTGGGTCTGGAATATTCGCGCCATACATCGACCGTAGAACGCCCATGTTTTCAGCCACGATTTCTGCCTCTGTCAGGGAAGCAATACGTTTTGCCTCATCCCCAGTAAGGGTGGACATAAGAATGTTCGAACCTGTAATATAAAGTATAAGATTAGAACATATGGAAATCTGAAATCACATTTAGATCTACGAGGTGGGCAAAATCGAACCTTATACCATGGGCTTTCAACTAGAAAGCCCATACTTAGACATATACACTTTTTCGCATTTTTGTCTTGTTGCGCAATCCTGTGCAATATTAAGAGACTTAATCTTGCAAATACGGCAACCTATAATTTCTTTAGCTGTTTATTTTTCATACATATTTTAAACAAGCTCGTTTCGTAAGATATTGGGGCCTCCGAGCTGAAAGCATTATATTGTGCATCGAAATCAAAATTGCCAGCATAGTATGCAATAGACATTAGTATTATACTTCCCGTTGACACCAACGTGAAATTGCAAATATTCCGTTCTCAACACGAAACACGAAGCTGAAAGGGTAACTGAAGTAGACTAAATTAACGCTTGTTTTGAATGCGCGCTATTCACATTACTAAATTGATTTGATGGACTTTCCGTTCACGGTTACGTTGCAAAAACATTGCAAACTTAAAGTCACTATTATTGAAGGCTACCTGGATGTATTCTGGAATGGTTTAGGTTTTCCCAGATTACGTAATATCCTGGTCTTTTTGCAGCATAGATTACGTACTCCGTTTCATCCCAAAACGCATAGGGGAATTTCATGACAATTCTTGTGAAGTGAGACATTTTGAAAGCATTAATGGCTTCTTTCTTTTCATATGAAAATGGTGGTTCGAATGTTACTTTCTCATTCTGGAGAACTCCGAGGCTAAATGTCATAATTGCATACGCCGCTTCAATTTTTACTCCAGAGTCAAGTGTGATCCTAACCCGGTTTTTCAATGTCTCAACTTTGGACACAGTTTCATTAAGCATGGTATTTGTTTCGTTAAGAAAATCAGCAGCCGTGGCTTGAACTAAATGGCGGTAACCTCGGGGATCAATAACTCGAAAGTCACCATCCTCGAAGTCCCAATAACTGAATAATACGCCGTATTTAAGGGAAAGTGTGTCGATATTTTCTGCATATTCGAAATCGTATTTTAAATATTCTATAGCGTAATCAAAATTTGATTTTGCTGTCCAACCACCCAGTCGAAGTGCTACCATTTTACTGATATCATTGCTGTTGCTTTGAAGTTTCTTTATAGCCAGTTCATCTTCAAATTCCTGTGCAGCCTCCAGGCGTGTGTATGAAAGATCAACTTCTTCAGTGACATCATTTCCATTTGCATCTCGTACAGTTTTGTCTGAATGGTGTGAATTCATTCCACTTAAATCAAACTTCTGAACAAGATCCCAAATCGGATTTCCATCCAAGCCTTGTATCCAAGACGCGCCCTTTTCTATGGTATAACCGTTCCAATCAATGTGAGATATCCTACCCCCTAGCTGTGACTGAGCTTCTACTAGGATAATATCTGTAACACCCGCTTCGTAGAGGGTCTTTGCAGCCATAACGCCAGCTATACCACCTCCTAATACAATGACGGATGTGGTTTCTGAAAATGAATCATTCATACAGACAAGACACGCAGTGATAAACATCGCATTTTTATCGAACCATTGAAAAATGGCCACCGTGTTATTTACCCAGCATGCCTAAAATCTAATTAATCTTGTAGTCCAGTTGCCAAATAGGAAAATGACACCAAAGGTCGTTTTGTGGTAGAAAGTTTTTTTCTTTGCATTTTTGGATACCTTATTGTGTCTGCATAAAATATTAGGAAGATGCAAAATTGTGCAGGCTGAGCATTTTTTATAAAATGCCATTGAAATTATGTAATCATTTCAGAGGTGGGCGTGGCACTTTACTTAACATATTATCATATAAAGGTTGCATCTTCACCTCAATAGACTGATATCTTAAAGTGTAAGCATGCTAGTAATAACTACAGATAGCTAGAAATGATTTATGAGCACAATGTAAAGCAATTAAATGATATATTATGTAACAATTTCAGATGGATGTGGCAATTTTGCTACTTTTTACTCATTTTCACTTTTATAGCTGAGCTTCCTAATATTTTTGTAACAATTCCCAAGATATGACCCAGGTATTCTATGTTTAACAACTGAACAAATATTAGCAAGTTGCAAAATACTGCAGGTTTTTATTTTTCATAATTAGGCATTAAAATTATGTAATGATTTTAGGAGGCGGCGTGGCACTTTCCTTCAAAAACCATCATATGAAGGTTGTTTCTGCTCAATAACCAAGTGTTTTATTTAAGTGTAAACATGCTAGTAATAACTTCAGATAGCTCTAAATGATTGATGTGCAATATGTTAATTAATTACATAATTAATGATGCAACAATATAAGGTGGGTGTGTCAATTTTGCCAACATACCAGGGGCATGGTGCTTTACTTTACAAACCACAATATCAAGGTTGTTTCTGCACACAAACCAACTGGTGTATTGAAATTAGGATGCTAGTTATAAATTCAGCTACAGGTATAAATGGTTCATGTGTAAAATGTTAATTAATTACATCATGACGTTACAATCTAAGTTGGGAGGTTCAATTTTGTCACTGTTTTCACTTTTTTAGCAGAGTTTCTTCATATTTTTGTGACTGCTAAAGTATGACCCAAATATATATCTTCATCAATTGAAAAGGTATTACCAAGGTTTCAAAATACTGCAGGTTGAGTATTCTTCATAAATTGGCATTGGAATTATGTAATCATTATAGATGGGGGTGTGGCACTCTCTCCACTTAAAAACACCATATAAAGGTTTTCTTTGCACATGAATCGACTGATATTTTAAAATATAAGCATGCTAGGTATAACTACAGATATTTATAAATTATTTTATGTGCAAAATAATAATTAGTTACATCATAAATTACATCATTTCATATAAAATTGTGGTTTATAATGCTATATCACCTGTTTGATTACCTAAATGCAGATTAAGATGATAATAGCCCCAGGTGCTGTATAAATCAGTGCCATGCTACAAACATGTTTCCTGACCAAACCACTGACACATGCTCAGAATCAAGGCTTTGATATCATCTGACAGGGAGATTCATTCCATAGTATGGTGGCCACAATACAAAGTTAGCAAGAGATAAGGGGCTTACTACATCGCTGTATTAACCCATTATGAAGTCAATGAAACTAACAACAAAAATGGTATTGTTGATGGAAGCTCAGAGATTTAAGCTATGATTTTGGCCAAGAGTATATCATATCTACCAACGACAAGCAGCGACATATAGCAGTTTCAGAGCAATGGTATTACCCTGATTGTTCCTGTAAGAATATGTACATGCTGACAATATTTATGACATCCATGGGAATATTCATGTCAGAATTTGGTATCCAGGAAATGAAAGAAGCATCATTTGCATGTGTATAAAAATGCTGAGTGAGTAGAAATAATTTCCCTCTGAATGTTAAAGCTCTTCAGATGCATGTAAACTTCATCCGGGAATTGATTGTATTGTATTGCATTTTGTTTACCACCAATGAAGGTGAGCAATACCTCTTGGGTATGTCCCGTATATATACGGTCGTAATTTACGTAATTAACATGGAAGATAGACCCAGAAACCCCTCCTTGAAGGAGCCCTATGTTCTTTTGTGTGCACTTATACATAGACATATAAGAACACACCACAGCCTTTTGTACGAGTTGCGGACCACTCAGTCAAACACCCTGAAGTACTTCACGCAAACAAGCAAATTAAGTCTTGCCTGAACCGGGGATCGAATCCGGGACTTTTTTGCGTAAGAGGTACCTGCGCTACCGCTGAGCTACATGGATGGCCATTTTGAAGATAAAAACAAACAGAAGCCCCACTCCTAAACATTGGGTGCAGTCAGAACCTAATTAACCAGTCTTCACTATGATGACTTTAACAAGAGCTGAGCGAGAGGCAGAGTAGCTGCTATATATGGGACAGTTAAAGATATGCCTCCCCATGTCACATCAATTATGCCAGATATGGTTATTTATCCTATGCCAAGTAGAGTTTTAGGGAGATAAGTTGGTAAGATATATCCCGTATCCTGATTTTGAGGTTTCCATATCCAGAACCTCCATATCTCCCGCTTCGGTGCATATCTTCCCGCTTTGGTGCATATCTTCCAGCTTCCAGTGCATATATTCCCGCTTCCGGTAATGCAATAAAATGACTTTGCATAAGAATGATTTGTATATTTTTACACCTTGTAGTATTAAAATGACCATATGCCCCTGAAAACTCAACTTGGTATTGGATAAAGCAGTTATGTACGGTCTGTTTGGATATAGGGTTCATCCCTCGTGAGATATGCACATCTACCTTCGGTCCCTATGGTCCCTCAGGTAGATATGCATATATCCCTCTGAATAAACCATATCCAAAACCTCCCAGTACATAGCCCTTATTTATCTGAATGACATGGAATGCCTCCAAAATGCATATTTGATAGTGTAGCATGTCAGATTAGGCTCTGGTATTGAATGTGGACCGATTTGTTCTTAAAACAATGTTTATCATGTGTGGATGTGGACAAAGCGTTACAATAACTTTGAAACCAGGAACCATAAATCGGTACATACAGTATAGTCTGAACGTGTGTAGTCAGCTGAACAAAGATCTTGTGATCTTGATGTCAACCTTTTATTTGAGAGTTGCTATGAAGACTACCAAAGGGATGCACACAGTCATCAGACAACAGAGATGTCTGCAAACAGAATCCACAACCTGATCCCAACAACCCCTCTTTCTCTGCAAACTCCAACCATACAATTTGGAAAACAGGATATCAGAAAACTGTAAAAGGCATACTTGCATACTGCTATGGGGTCAAACCCACTATTCATTAAACTATATCGGATCCTAATATGAGTTCAGAGAAAGAGATCTTGATGAGATTATGAAAGAGATGATATTGTCCGAATTTTACATAAACCGAGTCAACAATTCAGCACACCTTCCTTGAAAGATTGCCCCTTTTGAATCTTGTAATGTTATTGTTAAAACTCATTTCTTTGACATTAGGTAGATTATATATTTGGAGGCACAGTAAATTTAAAAACATCAGATTTGTATCATATCCTGAAATATCAAGCAATACGCATTATGCAATATATAATCTAAATATTGAGTCTACTAGTGTATTTCATAATTTGCCATGTCTATTTGAATCGTAATTTATCTAGAATATGATACAGTAACACAGTAATACATTTACAAAGAAAAATTTTCCATTCCAGGTGCGAACCAACCCATACCTGTTGGTATATTAACAACACTACAATGCCCATTTTTGAGTGATTACATAATTCAAATGCTCTTTATGTAATATACTCACATCATAATTATTATAATAGTAGAATTACACAAGTATCATATCATAGTTACATAACTACATGGTACAAATTTTAGGAAGCTCTGCTGAAAAAGTGAAGATGAGGAAATAGAAATTGTCACACCCACCTGTAATTGTTACATAATTTATTATGCAATTAATTAACTTTGCACATATTTCATTTTAGGTATCTATAGTTACAACAAGCAGGCATTAACTTTGAAAAACAGTTATTTCATGTACAGGAACAACCTTAATATGATAGTGATAGTGATAGTGATAGGTAAATAGTGCCACACCCCCTTCTCAAATAATAACGTAATTTCAATGCCTACTTAAAAAGATATTCAAATTGCAGAAATGTGCATTAAGCTAATATTTCTGCATAAACATGCACACTTGGATATTCTATTCTTAATAGAAATAGTTGCAAAAATATTAAGCTCAGTTGAAAAAGTGAAAATGAGTAAAAAGTAGCAAAATTGCCACATCCACCTGAAATTGTTACATAATATATCATTTAATTGCTTTACATTGTGCTCATAAATCATTTCTAGCTATCTGTAGTTATTACTAGCATGCTTACACTTTATGATATCAGTCTATTGAGGTGAAAATACAACCTTTATATGACAATATGTTAAGTAAAGTGCCACGCCCACCTCTGAAATGATTACATAATTTCAATGTCATTTTATAAAAAATGCTCAACCTGCACAATTTTGCATCTTCCTAATATTTTATGTAGACACAATAAGGTATCCAAAAATGCAAAGAAAAAAACTTTCTACTACAAAACGACCCCTACTGTGTCTACCGCTAGACTATTGGCACTGGCCTGCTCTTGCATGCGTAAACATTTGCATTTCCAAAACTGAGGCTTAATTAAGGTTGTTTTATAAATTCAGAATCGATTGTATAATGGTGCTTGAATGGTGTGGGAGGGAGCATTAGACATTGTTTCTTGTCAAGTTAGATCATGGTTTAGGATAATTGGTCATGCTTGTTTTCCTTGTGGTGTACTCTAGATTTTCTTCTTTTTTACTGCAGCATATCTTGGGGTTATTTGTCGTTCTAACAACAGTGTCACGATTTAAGAGTTGCCGAAGTTTGTACGGTTTATTTTATTACATTGAAAAGCTCATTTTCACTACCCTTAAATCTTGACGTACATCCGTTCTAAGGTATTTTTCTTTATTCTCAATTGTATCTAAAGTTCTTGAGGAGTGAACAACGTCAACATTCGCTCCACGGTTCTGGATAACGGTTCTGCCGCAACGCGAATGTTGACGTTTTTCACTGCTCAATAAACGTGAATGTTGAAGTTGTTCTCTCTAGAAAAAACTTTAGATAGTACTATTTTTCCTGAAAATAAAGAAAGATGCATAAGAAATACAAAATACCCCTAGATATGCTGGAAAGCACAGCGAACAACCTCGATATTCGCGTCACAGCAGTCATCCAGAACAATGGAGCATGGATTGAGCGAATCATCAATAAATCGGGCGTGTTTGTTGATGTCATGTGATTTCCGCTAGATTTAAGACTGACTGACTTTTATTGTATCAACAAAAACTTTAGACCTTCCTTTCGAACATGTGAGAATATAGGTAATAACTGAGATATAGCTTTTTTGCAATGGTCACTTTTTGGGACACCCTGTATATAGTGTATGTTATGATTAATATGAAGTCTCCGAATGACTACTTTTCCCTGGTTGTAAATGTAGGTTCATATGTTATTCTATTTCGAATATGTATGTAATTCATATTGTAAGTAAAATGATGTTAGTGACGATAGACAAAATGATACAAACAGACTATTTCTGTATACTGGTTTACTTACGTGTTGTAGCTTCTGTGCATGCTAGTACGTTATGGAATCGTTTCTGAATGAATGACGCTTTGCATGCACATTTTACTCCGTCTCCAACATCTTTGCATTCAGCATTGGGGTCGCTACAGCTATACCCGGGTAGACATGCCTCTCCCAAATCTAGTTCTTAAGAAAATCAGAATAGTACTAACCAATTGAACTTGAACAGTTGAGACATAGACTCAGTGACTTGGAATTTAAAATGGGTTAAAAGTTATTCAATTCTGACTTTTGAACCCTTAAGACAGTTTTCTATTATTTTAAAAATCTCTCGGGTTTTTACTATTTTTGAAATTGCGAAACACAATGTTACCTTTGCTACAGTCCGGAAGTGTGCATTTTTCGTATTGCTGTTCGCCAGAGTCTGAAGTTCTGCTCCTAACTCCACCAGCGCCACATGTTTTATTACACGCTCCCCATTCAGACCACACCTCGACTGCTGTTAGGAAATAAATATTTGACATTACATATTACAAATTCAACCAGGTAAGGGCACACGATTCTAACAAGAGTAAGAGTCTACTAAGCCCCCAAAATGTCATATTTCAAATCTAACGTCAAATACTTCATGAAAAAGAATTTTAAACTTTACCTGTACAACGCGTATTAACAGCTGCTTTCAGTTCATCCAGTTTATTATCGATGTCTGTTTTCATTTCATCCAAACTCTCCTGTGTCGCTAAAATGTCCATCGGCAATTTTACTTTAAAACGCCATTCGTTCTTATTTGGTTTAGCATTACTTAGATAAGTCAAATACACCAGGAAAAACAAGATTTCGCCAATCCATATGTTCATGTTGCCTATTTTCGAGTTTAACGTATAAGATCAAGTTAGAAAACGAATTACATAAGGATGAGTGTAACTATTGGACGCAAGGAGGATTGGCTCCCAGAATCGAAGTCGATATTTTCCAACAATGAAAACGTCGAAATGTCGTTATTTTCTGAAATTATAACCGATTATAAATTCAAAGTAAACAGATCAAAAGATTTGAACCAATATCTCGATTATTTCCTGTGAGTTTTGGAATTTTTCGTTAGGAAATAAGACCAAAATTCACGATTCAAATGTTGAAGTGAACAAAATGGCCGCTGTTGGAATTCAAATTATGTAGCACGACATGCCCATATATGTGACAGAATATCGATGTTGCACTCTGGGAGCCAATCCTCCTTGTATTGGACGCAATAACTCAAAATTATCATTTCAGTCTAACAGCCCATGATTGAAATATTAATTTCATAATATAAAGAACATAGGTCATTTATCAACTCGCTTTTATACACTTCTTTGAATTTATTACTTTACAAAATAGATATTATTTTAATCTGATACAATTGTTAATTTTTGTTAAATGGACCACGGTGTGGTGATAATTTTGAAACACAGATCGATTATCAACTGATTATGGCTATAGCTGTTGAGATTGATTATGTTATTCAAGGTAATGTTTTAATTTGTCATTATCTAATATAATATTCTATTACTTCCGACTACCACATCTACACAGGATCGGCGTTTAAAGTGAATCAGTTGATAAGCTACCATTGGCTGATAAATTCGTTATTCAAAATGGCATCAAAATGCGACTTGTGTTTGTCGATATGAATGGCATGGTGAAGTTAAGTAAGTTCACGCAGTCTCTTAAGTATTATGTTAATTTTTTTTTAAAATACACAAAATAGCTATAGAAACTAATGCCTCTGTCACATTTGATCTACGGCAACCGAACGACGGCCGTAGCTTCCCCAAATCGAGTAGAAATAGGCATAACATATAGAGATGAGCAGTACGATGTATCGATTTGTGAAGCTGCGGCCGCCGTAGAACAAATGTGACTGAGGATCAAGGCATCTGCGAAGGATCTTCATTAATGAGAAATTATCATACTTCTTAGATTTCTAATAATATTCCAACCATTTCGATTAGAGCTACATACACTAGTACACTACTTTCAGTTCATCAAATTTATTTTTGATGTCCATTTTCATTTCATCCAAACTATTCTGTGTTGCTAATACACTCAGAAGCAAATCCACTTTGAAGTTCCATTTGTCCCTGACTTAGCATTAGTCAGACCCATCAAATACAAAAACTGTAAGATAATCAATCAATTTACAGACCATGCATCCGTAATCATAATATGCAAAGATCGATAATAGTAACGTATGCCTGGATTTTTTCATTTCCTGAAATATAACATTGTAAAAATTACTCAAATTAAACAGATGAAGTGGCCGAGATGTATATGAAATTCAACCCGTTTTTGTAAAAAAATTCATTGCATCAATTAAAACATTTCAATTGTTTTAATATGATCCTTTCCCCCGACTATCACATGTACTGTATTTATAAGTTATGTACCCAATCAGTGTAATAAATGTGTTTATGGATTAGTTACATCGGGGATCCTAGTACCACTCCTAGCCAGGTACCTATATGCATGCAATTGTCTCACCTAAGGTCTCGGGGATTCTAGCCACTTCTAGCCAGGTACCTATATGCATACAATTGTCTCACCTAAGTTGTCGGGTAATCTAGCCACTTCTAGCAATGGTACCTATGTGCATGCATTTGTATCACCTAAGGTGTCGGGTATTCTAGCCACTTCTAGCAATGGTACCTATGTGCATGCATTTGTATCACCTAAGGTGTCGGGTATTCTAGCCACTTCTAGCAATGGTACCTATGTGCATGCATTTGTATCACCTAAGGTGTCGGGTATTCTAGCCACTTCTAGCAATGGTACCTATGTGCATGCAATGGTCTCAACTAGGGTAAGGTATGGGGATCCTAGCCACTTCTAGTAAGGTATCAATTTGCATGCAATTGTCTCAACTAAGTTATCGGGTAATCTAGCCACTTCTAGCAATGGTACCTATGTGACCGGAAGGGGTGATAAGTGATTCCTTCAGGGATTTTAAAGATACCCAATATGGGTGACCAAACTTAGCTGAAAGCAATGATTTTTCCTATGGGAAAATAACATGGGAAATATTGTTTTCCACTTTATCCAAAGGAATCTTTTATTCCTTTTAAGGGATTAACTGTGTGTCAAAACGTAACATATTGATGCAAAAAAAATTAAAAAGCAAGGATGGAAGGGGTTGAGAATCAGGAAAACATTTCAGAAAAAAAACATGTGGGTGGGTTGTTTGCAAAGATCGGTTAATTTACCTAGCATAACAAGCTGTGCCAGAGTTGCCCCAGTCTAAAACGTGAGTATACAGTACATCTAACTGTTGAAATAATCTGGTACTAGCGAAGGAACGGCCCAAGTATCCAATACTGGGCCGTTACCGTTGTAAACCATGTATGGAATGAGTTATGACTTGTGTACCTGAAGTAACAAGTGACTCCAGTTACTAGGAAGCAATTGAAATTTCTAAACATACGGAACTAACCACACCTTTAAGGTACTTATGCACTTTCACAGAAGAGGTTCGGGAAAATGTCATTTTGATCCTACTTAATCAAAATATTCTAATTTTGAACTGTATTTTCTACCATAATTTGTACATTTTATCCACATGAAATCTGATAGATGTTGACCATTTCGTTCACTATCGGAATAGGTAATAATGATCATGGTTTATAAAGATTAATTCATATGCACCAACAAAATTATCAACAACCGTAGTTCATACAATTAACGACGTTAGTTGCAGCATCTACCCCAGACATATATGCACCATGTGTGTAACCATAGTAACGTCCGTTTGTATGCTCTCCAGCGAAATGCAAATTTCCAATCGGTGCCGTCATAACATCATGATCGTCTTCGTCAAATCCTATTGGCCAGTTGCTATAGGAACCCATCGTAAGAGGATTGTCTAACCACGTATTGACCAATACGGATATTGGGTCTGGAATATTCGCGCCATACATCGACCGTAGAACGCCCATGCTTTCAGCCACGATTTCTGCCTCTGTCAGGGAAGCAATACGTCTTGCCTCATCCCCAGTAAGGGTGGACATAAGAATATTCGAACCTGTAATATTAAGTATAGGATTAAAAGGATGCACGCCTGTACATAGTTCGAAAGTTAAAAGGGAACTCCTAAAGATGTACAAAGTGAACAAAATCAAAGCTTAAACAAACAATTTTTTGCATTTTGTCTAACTTGTTGCGCAATGTTGTGCAATAATATTGAGGGGTACCCGGATGTATTCTGGCGTTGTTTAGGTTGTCCCAGAGTACGTAATATCCTGGTCTTTTTGCAGCAAAGAATACGTATTCCGTTTCATCCCAAAACGCATAGGGGAATTTCAGGACAATTCTTGTGAAGTGAGACATTTTGAAAGCATTAATGGCTTCTTTCTTTTCATATGAAAATGGTGGTTCGAATGTTACTTTCTCATGCTGGAGAACTCCGAGGCTAAATGTCATAATTGCATACGCCGCTTCAATTTTTACTCCAGTGTCAAGTGTGATCCTAACCCGGTTTTTCAATGTCTCAACTTTGGACACAGTTTCATTAAGCATGGTATTTGTTTCGTTAAGAAAATCAGCAGCCGTGGCTTGAACTATATGGCGGTAACCTCGGGGATCAACAACTCGAAAGTCGCCATCCTCGAAGTCCCAATAACTGAATAATACGCCGTATTTAAGGGAAAGTGTGTCGATATTTTCTGCATATTCAAAGTCGTATGTAAAATATTGTAAAGCGTTATCAATATTTGATTTTGCTGTCCAACCACCAAGTCGAAGTGCTACCATTTTACTGATGTCACTGCCGTTGCTTTGGAGTTTCTTTATAGCCAGTTCATCTTCAAATTCCTGTGCTGGCGCCAACCTTTTGTTTGAAAGATCAACTTCTTCAGTGACATCATTTCCATTTGCATCTCGTACAGTTCTGTTTGTGAGGGCTGAGTGCATTCCACTTAAACCAAACTTTTGAGCAAGATCCCAAATCGGATTTCCATCCAAGCCTTGTATCCAAGACGCGCCCTTTTCTATGGTATAACCGTTCCAATCAATGTGAGATATCCTACCCCCTAGCTGTGACTGAGCTTCTACTAGGATAATATCTGTAACACCTGCTTCGTAGAGGGTCTTTGCAGCCATAACGCCAGCTATACCACCTCCTAACACAATGACTGACGTGGTTTCTGAAAATGAAGCATTCATACAAGACAGCGATCAATATCGCCCGCTTTTCGAAAAACTCAAAATGGCTTCCATGTTATTCATCCAGTATACCCAAAACCTAATCAAAATTAGATCCGGTCTTCGTCATTCTATTTAATATATAAAACAAGTAAAATGATGTTATAGTGCCCTATATAGACCAAGCGATACAAACGGATTGTTTTTGGATTATGTTTACTTACGTGTTGTAGCTTCTGTGCATGCTAGTACGTTATGGAATCGTTTCTGAATGAATGACGCTTTGCATGCACATTTTACTCCGTCTCCAACATCTTTGCATTCAGCATTGGGGTCGCTACAGCTATACCCGGGTAGACATGCCTCTCCCAAATCTAGTTCTTATCAAATCAGAAATCAGAATAATTTGAATTGAACAAGGTTAGCTTGTATTCGCGAATGCAACTTTCGGCTGTCGGCTACCTGATTAATTAACTTACTATTTTATGACCAACTCATTGAGATAGTGGCAGGTACTTTTCATATTGAATGAGTTGTCCATGATCTGGTAGCCGAAAGCCGAAAGTTGCACTCGCGAACACAAGCTTACACGTAAACTCCGAGACTCGAAATAAATAAGAGTGGGTTGACTTCAATTCTAATCACGACGTAAATCCTACAAATTTAAAAGTTTATTCAGAGCATCTACGACTGTGTGTATACATTTTAAACTGCAATGTTAACCGTTTCGCTTGCCATTTGTTACAAACGACGAACTCCGAACGCCAACCGCTAAACTCAAAATCGACAACCACCAAACACGGAACTGAAAAAAGTTGGAGACAATAACGATATGATACTTCTTGTGGCGGTGAGATAAAAAATGTTACCTTTGCTACAGTCCGGTAGTGTGCATGTTTCGTATTGCACTTTTGAGCCTGGACACGCTTTCCTTCCTTGTTCTGATGATGGATCTTTGCATGTTCTAGTTCTATTCCTGACTCCATCAGCCCCACATGTTTTATTACACTCTCCCCAGTTAGTCCACAATTCCCAGTTGCCACCGACTGCAGTAAAGAAAACATTTTCCACATTACATAAATATGAACCCCAACATTTCATTTTTCAAATCAAAACACTTCAAGAGTTTGTTTTAAACTTTACCTGTACAACGCGTATTAACAGCTGCTTTCAAATCGTCCAATTTATTATCGATGTCCGTTTTCATTTCATCCAAACTCTCCTGTGTCGCTAAAATATCCATCGGCAATTTTACTTTAAAACGCCATTGGTTCTTATCTGGTTTAGCATTACTTAGATAAGTCAAATACACCAGGAAAAACAAAATTGCGCTGATCCATATGTTCATGTTGACTATTATCCAATGTTACGGATTAACATAAAGTTAAAAAATCATATACATACTTACGTACATAATATCATGTATTAATTGGATACAACTACTCAAGATCATCATTTCAGTTTAATAGTCCATGATGAAAATATTAATTTTATAGTATAAAGAACATATGTCGTTTATCAACTCGCTATTATACTTGTACAGTATTTTAAATCTATTACTTAACAAAATAGATATTATTTCAATCGAATACAATTGTTCATTATTGTTCTAATGGACCACGATATTGACATTTGCTCAAGGTCATCATTTCAGTCAAATGGCCATGATGGAGATATTAATTTGATAGCATAAAGTGAATATGTCATTATTTTACACTAGTTAAAATTGCTGTACAAAATAGATGTTATTTTAATCTTACACAAATTATTCATTATTGTTCTAATGGACCACGATGGGGATATTTTGAACATACATGTATATATAGAAAAGAGCTCGATTATCGAATGTAGTATTCTCTGTAATACCTTGTATTCGCAAATGCAACTACCGGCTGCCGGCTACCGGGTTAACTTATAAATCTTTAATGTAAGGATCGATTAAAATAAGCCGCGCGATTGAATTAGCGAATAGATCGTAAGTCATGTTACTGGTACAAGCTTCTGCTTTTTTGTCGATATGAATCGGCATGGATAAGTTAGGCATGTTCTTATTGATGAGGAAATTCCAGCATATTTTCTTTTCTTCCAAAATCTCAGCATCTCGTGAGTCAAAATATTCAGCAGGAGATCCAAAGGTCAAGTTGTGCTTCGGTTAGCGACATTTATACATTCGCCGAGTGATATAGTCCCGATTTCTCGGTACACTAGTTCGAGGAAAAATACTATTCAACACTGAACTAGGATTCGTCTAAGATATTTCGATCGTTAATCACTGTAACTGAATTCGAACGTGTTATCTTAAAATAGCCAGTATTGTGATTGGCTACCATTTGGTTTAAATACCTGAGTATGATAGGGGTTATCTCAAAAATTGCAATACGTAGTGGTTTGCCCAATAGTGAAATCATAACACTTGAAATGTGCATGTGTACATGGCAATTTAGTACGACATACATTGTAGTTGAACCATTCTTCATTGGTTTGTATATACTCTTCCTCCATTATGCAGTCTCAGTTAGGGCTAGTGAGGGGCGGGGGTCGTATGGGGTAACGGGACAACACTAACTGGGTTCAGGAGGACCATATATTATTTTCTCATTGGAGTGTATTTGGACTACAAAATTTAATAGTGGTTTTGCTTCTCATTGTTAACTATTCATGTAAGTCTGACATGACCCCCTGAAACAGCGAGTGCTTAACACATTCAATTTTGTTTCAGTGAAAGAGATCTTAACACGTGCGATACAACTCAGATAAACATAGGCATACGACAACAGTTCAATACGTGGCAGTTTACAGCGAATAAAGCAAAGCTCTTGGCATTCAGTAAGTTTTACTTGTATTGCTCTGCATATTAATTTTGTCAATGCTGAATTGATTTGTTATATGAATTTGTAAATGATTCAATATGTGCAATGGATCTCCAACTCAAATTTGTTACTGATTAATCAATATATAGAGGTTATTTACTGGGAGGGATTCAATATGGGTTTTATCCCAAGGGACAATATGATATTTCCCGAGGGCCCGGACACATAAACCCATATTTATCCCGACCAGTAAATAAGCTTTTCTGACTCTTAATTATAATTTTAAAATCCATATTTGATTTTTGTATGAAACAAAACCAGACTATATATTTAGTCTACAAAATACAGCTTATAATTTAAACTTTATGAAATTTTAAATGTAAAAATGTCATTGTATAACATAAACAAACAACAAATCAAGAATACGTATACTTGCCCATCAAGGGGCATTCGCATATTGCTCAGATGTCTATGACGTTGATCGTCCATGTCAGAGCATGAGGATGAAATTCCAATCATACACATCTTGAAATTCAATTCATTCTCCCACAAAAGATTTTATGAGACATAAAAGTGCGAATTTCTCTTTACCGGGACACGCGGGAATGAAATAGTTGGTGAATCAAATTAAATCATCTTTACACATTGATGGTACGGGACAAGTTTCACAGAGATATAAAGTCAAAAAATATGTTAAAAGTGTACTTTCATACTTGAAGTGCCGACAGAAATGCAACATACGCCCACATACGAAAACAAAAGTCATGTGACCGCCTATACCCACCGTGAAACATAGGGGAATCATAATTTTATCATCATGCTGTGACACAGTCAGTCAACATATCGTAGAAATCTGAGCAGGCGGCCAGTGTGATGAACATGCAAATTGTTGAATCTGTTGATGTGTTATATAACAAAATTTTTATATTTCGAAATGCCATAAAGTTAATCATATTTTGTAGACTAATTATAATATAGTCTGATTTAGTTTCATACAAAAATCATACAGTATATGGATTTGAATTAATGATTTTATGAAAAGAGTTATGAATATCTGAGATAAAACGCTTATTTACTCGTCGGCATTAAATATGGGTTTATTCCTCGTGACAATATGATATTTCCCTCTGACCCTCCCTTCCTATATCGCAGGGAGTGGAAACAGGAAATTCACTTGAAAAATTGAAATTTCGGATTAAGATGAAAATGCATATCCCATTATTCAAGGAGTTAAGGTGCTATGATACTTAATAGTCCATTTGTCATTTTCTTAACGTATGAATATTTAAAAACATGATGTTTTTCTGTGCAAATACTATCATTAGGGTTTATTGGAGTGATTTAGCTGGGATGCCTAAAAATTAACGTTGGGGAAATTTTTTGTATCTATCACCATGGTAACATACCAGGTACATGTACATGGTGGTATCCCGACGCTAAGTCATTAGTCAACGCCATGTTAAGCCAATGCACCCCTCCCTAATTAGCCGATATACTTTTTTCCCAAAACTAACTTTTTGTCCAACCCAGTTAAATCACTTCAGAAAACCCCTGTTATTATAAATTAACCATAAAACATCGTGTTTTTAACAATTCATAGGTTCACTTTAGTACAGTATAGGGGTGACAAATGGACTAATAACAGGAAATGACAAAACATGTGACTTTTTAAACATTTTTTGAACAAAGATAGCAGAGTTCTGTTTTGACCTCCAGTCAATTCAAATAGTTCCACATACCATTTAAAGGTCCAGGATCACAATGTTCATGGTCATGGTCAAAATGACCCTAAACATGATGAAATAACCTTTTCAGCCCTCTGAAAATGTGACTGAAAAATAGCTAAAAGTAGGAGGTAGGAAAGGTCACTGAACAGAATCTTTTGAATTTTTCAGAAAATGTGCCCAATATATTGCTCTAAATGCAACAATCTTTGAAAAGGAGTGGTATCGATATGGCGAACTGATTTAAACAATGTTTTTCTCTTAAACCAATCATTCAAATTCAAACATTCTGTAAAAAACGGTATTTTATGTAATGTTGACTGATTGACAACAATTCAATGCGAAAATTATCTAGAAATATTTCATATAACTGTTATTGTTAACATTTTTTGATTTTTTAGTGCAATTGTTTTTGCTCCTTTCTACCAATTCTTGAGAATGAAATAAAATGTCTTTCCGAACCTTGTTGGAACAAAAAAGCATTTACAACATGTTTTTAGACCTCTCAATATTATAGTTATACAAAGGAATTTTTGGTTGATTCTAAAAAAGTATTCAAAAAATTAAAACAAAATCCCCCCAAAATAAATAAAAATCAAGATGAAGCTTTTATTTTATTAACAAGATACTTTTTTAAAATCAACCAAAATTTCCTTTGTACAATTACAATATTGAGAGACCTAAACATGTTGTGTGTATGTCGTTTTGTTCCAATGAGGTTCGGAAAGATGTTTCATTTCACTTTGGAAACATGATACCAAGAACAAAACAAGTGTTTGATGTGTTTTCTAAAACAATATAGATGAAAGTATATATATTTTTTTCAAATAATATTGTTACCATTCAAAATATGACAATTAAATTGACTATGTGTTGGATTTTTAGATTTTTTTCATGACTGGTTTAAGAGAAACGTGTGTCAAAAAGTTCTCCATATCGATACTCATCCTTTGATATCATTCGTAGAAATAGAAAACAAATGAAAAAACTGATTTAGAAAGCGATCTATTTTCCTTTTTATGACCGCCATTTTTGTTTCAGACAATTTTCTATAATTTCGAAGATTGTGTCGCAATCTTCTAGTTTCCATACAGTGCTCTTTTGAAATTAATGATGTCATCCATAAAGTCAATCTTGAACTCAGCGTTCGAAGCTGCTTCAACGATTTGTTTCCGTCTTATTTTGCCATTTTCGTTTCCTTTCTTCCACGTGCTGTATGAAACGTCTGCTGGCTGACGAACTAATTGAATTACATGGGAAAATATTGTAAAGTGTCTTCCGATGTGAAATGCGGAGTGCATTTTCATTGGCACAATTATGAGCTCGCAACCACGAACTTAAATTATCAATTTTTACGTTGTTCATTAATCAACATGTCTACATTAACCCCATACTACATTTAACTAATTTCTAAAATTTGAAGTAGTAGATTATGCCTTTATCCATAAAATTCATACAGCTCTTACAGTTTGTATTAATGTGCTTTCTTACATCAGAAACAAGACACGGATGGCTTCAGCAACTCTCCGCGCTGTTTTATCAGGGATTGCAACAACGTTTGCGTATTTCGTGTCGTAAAGCCCGGTATACACCAATGGGGCAAGTTGGGACCTCCATAGACTTAACATTGCGTGGGACCTCGTGGGACCTTTTGGGATTTTGCCCCATGAAGTCAGTGGGACTCCATGGGACTCCGTGGGATTTTGCCCCATCGAGTCCGACGAGGTCACATGAGGTCCCATGAAGTCCCACGTTGGACTCGGTGGGACTCGATGGGGCAAAATCCCACGGAGTCCCATGGAGTCCCATCGAGAATGAACATGTTCATTCTTTCCATGGGGCATCGTGGGATTTTCGATCATATGATGTGTTGTGTGAAGCCCTACAATACATACACCAATGGGGCACGGTGGGATTTGATGGGACTCGATGGGGCCTGATGGGACTCCATGGGGCACGATGGGGCAAAGTCATCAAGGTCCCATGGGACTTCGTGGGATTCGATGGGGCAAATTGGGATTCGATCGGGCAAGATGGGACTCGATGGGGCAAGTGGGATATTGCCCCATTGGTGTATACCGGGCTTAACACATGTCAGTCGCGACATATTTCTGCTACCTTCCTGATTTATTTATTCATTATGATGTTGGCGTCAAGGATCCGATAAGGTCAATTCCAATTAAGAAATCGTCCCATTATTTCCACATTGTTACAATTGCATTTTAGCTGATATTGAGAAATCAGATGTTGAAGTTTACGTCTTCATCACAGGCTGGTATCGAAAGATTTGTCCGCTGTGATGGAGCATGCTATTTTTTATAATAAAAACACTAAGAAAACCACACAATCTATTTTTTAACTCATATGTTTCGTTATACCAAAGAAAATAACTTACTTCCATGAAATGGATATATAACTTGCGGGTTACTTTCAGTTTTGTTTGAAGTCCCATAAGGCTAGGAGTAAAAGCTATTAAAAATGGTCCCGGGGTATCATACTCCAAAATGTACCATATCTTTTTTAAACTTGTTAATGGCACGATATAGTGACACGATAATATTTACACATGGTGTCAGCATAACTCTGAAGGTATTAATGAGATATTGATGTATTGGGCCTTTTTAATTTTTTAAATAATGCTTAATTTTTTTGTCCGCTGTGACGGAGCAGTTGGAAATGTGAACTGTGAACCTTAGAAAAAATGTATGATTTCTGCATGCTCTAAAAAGACTAAAATAGTTATTATGATATTTTATAGGTTATAATTTAATTGACCTGCCTACCCGTAATACATGTCATACATTCCCGTAATACTTGTTCTGAAAAAATATGTGAAAAAATCACAAAATGAGAGCATTTTTTCAGAATATATGGATCGCCCCTTGTACACGGATCTGCTCTCTGTTGTCCATTAATGACACTGGGGTTCGCTTTTGATACGATCGTAACTTTCGATGACTCGCGGCTAAATCACTTTACGATGGTTCAAAAAACTGTTTGTCCCTGCTCTAAATTGGATCTATCTGAGATATCTGTGCTCAGTAGCCTTATAACAGATGTCCCATACTAAAAATAGGTGGCACTAGTGTGTCATAAAGCCTATTAAAGGGACATTCCTGGCCAGACCATTTCTATCCTGATATGGTAGCCTTAATCATATTTATGCTTTCCATATTTAACAAAACATGGGAAAATGTTTTAATATTGTCAATATTGATCATTTAAAAAATGCAGTGCAACCTGCCATATTTTAAGATTTCACTCAGGAAGTGATGTCATCAACTCTCAACTTTCATGACCTTGCATATAACAGTATAGGGAAGTAGCACAAAATCGCTTCTAGACAAGTGGTCCTTACTTTATGTACAAAAATATCTTCAGAGCTTGTCAGTTTAGAATAAAAGAGACTCTTAAAAGGATTAAATAGTAGACAAATTTGAAAAATAATATTCAGCTGGTTTTGTAATGCTTAGTAGCTCCTTGCCTAATATTATATACAAAGTTGAGAGTCGATGACATCACTTCCTGAGTGAAATCTTAAGAAGATGGCAGCCTACTGGAATTGAGCACTACATTTTTAAGTGACCAATATTGACCATATTAAAACATATTTCCGTGTTCTGCTAAACATGGTAATTATATATGGCTGTAGCTACCATATTAGGGGAGAGATGGTCTGGCAAGGAATATTCCTTTAAGTAAAGTCCATATCTGCACAATGTTTTGCGTATGCTATAATAGTTCTAATGAATTCCAGATAGAACATATTATGAAAGGTCATGCAAAAAATTTGGGTCGTATTGTTCGCCTTATACTACTTAGTAAGAGGTAATAATTTGTTTGTATTTTGTATTATATGTTTTGATACGATTTAGTATTTTTGCAAGATACCTCTGCCAGATACCTATTTTGATTCCAGACACAGAAGCAATATGCCAAAGATGAAACCGAACAAAAAGCCAGGAGCACCATTGTTACAACAGGATGCGACACCATTTCACCTGACGGGCGTTGAGGAAATATCATCTGCTTCAAGTAATATTGGGGATACATGTCCTTCCGAACGACAATCTAAATCCAAAGGTGGTCCCCATCAAGGTATGGCCATATCCCTTTTTAACGTTCAATTTACGTAACAAAAGGGAGCTAATACACAATAATATGTATATAAGACATGATTAGAGATGTTTCGCGACTTTAAGTCCTTTTACTCCAAATGTCCCTATTTTTCAGTCTCCAGGGGTATATCATCCAGTTTCTTACTAAGTTAATGAGTTTTTTCAAATACAAGAATTCGTGTGAAGTTGTTTCACTTTATAGAATTATTACTCCCCCCTCCGTCCCCTCCCCCCCTCCGTCCCATTTTAATTATTTTCGATTATTTTTTATTTAACGTATGGAAACTTATTTTATAAATTCAGCAATGACATTAATTTAGTTATGATAACATCACTTACAAGTATTTATTACAGGTCGTGTAGTCCATTGTTGCTTGATTTATAGCAAAAACGTTGACTTTTGCACGTTGGTTGCGTTGCGCCTTTTTTAATAGATCTTATATCTTAAAAGAGTATCGGTTGAAAAATAATCCTAGAATACCTAACATATTTTATCATACCGTGCGCTTATTCAATTTGCAATTCAATCGTAAACTCTGTCTTGAAAAAATAATTTTACCAGATTTGTTGAATTTTCTAGCGGATATTGCCTGCTCCCTAGGGTGGTCCAAAATATGGCGAAAAACCAACTTTGTTTCAGATCATCTTCCTCATTTCACTTACTGTTGTCCATGACCTAAAACACCTGCACACCAAATTTTAAGACCCAAATCACATGGGAAATTTACCCACGCTTCGACTGAAAATTCGGTTATTTCATGATTTTTTGCTATTTTCGATAAATTGTCATCTCCCTTTTCCTGGTATAATATGTTTCTATTTTTTCATAATAAACATTTTTGTAGGACTCTTTATTACTTCATAATACTAGGAACCCATACACCAAATGTTGAGACCCAAATCCCATGGGAAATTTACCCACGCTTCGACTGAAAAATTCGGTTATATTTCATGATTTTTTGCTATTTTCGATAAATTGCCATCTCCATTTTCCTGGTATAAAATGGTAGATGTCTTTTCATAATAAATATTTTTGGATGACTCTTTATTACTTCATAATACTTAGGAACCCATACATCAAATTTTGAGACCCAAATCCCATGGGAAATTTACCCACGCTTCGACTGAAAAATTGGGTTATTTCATATACAATACAATACATCTATCTTTTCCTGGTATTATATGTTTCTATTTTTTATAATAAATATTTTGGGAGGACTCTTTATGACTTCATAATACGAGGAACCCATACCCCAAATATGCACCAAATTTTGAGACCCTGGCCCCATGAGAAATTAATTCATGCTTCAACCAAAAATGTGTGATTTTCTGCGAATTTTCTCCTATTTTCAATAGATCAACATTAATCTTATATTTAGTTTTTAAACATTTTAGGAGGACATTAATACGTTCTTAATACTAGGAACCGATACATGTAATATGTACCAAATGTTTAGACCTGAACCCCATGGGAAATTCACGTTTGCTTTGATCATATACTTTTGATTTTTGTCGTTTAGAGCACCATATTATTGTTGTGTGATGTGCAATTTGTAATAAATTGTATTACACGTTGTCTTAATTATCCTGTTTGGCCCTACATACGTTACATCATGAAAGATGGTTATATAGTACTTTAAGGTAATTCCTTATTTTCAGTTTTAATGGCTTCCTAATTGGAGCCCCGTGTTTTTTCAGGAACACATAACTCATTCCATTCAGATGCACAAACAGTGTATAAACATAGCACATAGTACATTATAGAAAATTACTAACCTCGGATCAACTAATAATCTAAATACATATTTGAACTCAGTGTAAAATTGAAAGAGCTGACCAAGTATGGAATGAGTTCCAGAAATAACACTGGACTCCACTTAAAATTTCTGAACATACAGAATTACCTTAAGTGTTTCTCATTGCTCTTCCTATCTTCTACATTGTGTACTTTCAGGGCATGAACATTTTCAGAGAAATGACAAAGCTCAGTGGAAGCTCGATTCCCTTGAAGATTTGGTACAGGCTTACTGGTTACAACAGAGACCATGCCATTGATACATTGATCAATCAAAAAATCATTTCTCCAAAGAAAATCAGATTTGATATTTGACCTTACCCTGCAAAGATGTGAGAAAGAATATGACATCTCACACAAATCCAAACAAAGTCCTGTGATGTATCCCTACTGAAACCAACAAACCAAATCTTCAAGGCATTTGAGTTGCTGTCGAGTCATCACTTCTTAATATTAACCACAGTATATAAATGTACAAGTAAAAGATCCTAAATTTTCCCCAAACTACTGAATTTGTCGCCTTTCAATAAGACTTAAAGTCTTGATATTTAGGTGTTTCTTTGGATTAAGAAGGAATTACCATAATGTTTATTAACATTTTATGCCCCTAAAACAGACATCATAAGCTATCATAAGCACCAGTTTTCAGTCAAAGCATGGGTAACGTTCTCATTGGATTTGGGTCTCAAAATTTGGTGGATATTTGGTGTATGGGTTTTTAGTATTATGAATTAATAAAGAGTCCTCAAAAATGTTTATTATAAAAACATATCGTACCAGGAAAATGGAGACAGCAATTTATTGAAAATCGGAAAAAATGTGAAAATCACAATTTTTCAGTCAAACCATGGGTAAATTTCACATGGGATTTGGGTCTCAAAATTTGGTGTTTGGGCTCCTAGTATTATTAAGTAATAAAGAGTCCTACAAAAATGTTTATTATGAAAAAATAGAAACATTTTATACCAGGAAAAAGGAGATGGCAATTTATCGAAAATAGCAAAAAATCATGAAATAACCGAATTTTTCAGTCGAAGCGTGGGTAAATTTCCCATGGGATTTGGGTCTCAAAATTTGGTGTGCAGGTGTTTAGGGGTCATGGACAACAGTAAGTCAAATGAGGAAGATAATCCGAAAGAAAGTTGGTTTTTCGCCATATTTTGGACCACCCTACTGCTCCCCCCCTCCGTCCCATTTTCACGATCACCGGGCGTGATACAATAAAACGATGATTCCGGCATCTCGTGAAAGAAAACGGTAGCTACATGTAGTTGATATTGATTCAAAGACAAGTTGTTAAAAACATCGTGATACACATTAACTTTTAAAAGTATTCCCTTGTTTTGTTACAGCTGATACACCAACCGCAGAATGTAAAGAGGGTGATGTGATGGTTCCTCAAGTAGCACCAACGAGTACAATTACTTCTTCATCGCTACCAGACTCGAGTAAGTTATTTTTTCAATATAATTTAAAAGAAATAATTTCCACAGAGGCTCAAATCTGTAAACGTTGATAGAATTACTAATAACCAATCGGATATAATCGATGCAATGTGTTAGATTAACCCATCCCTGAAACCAATTTTTAAACAATCTGAACAGTTATATTGAGACTTGCGGATTTTCTCAACTTGGCAAGTGCAATTCTCTTAAAACTTTGATACTTTTGCTTGGAGTTCGAAAGATTTATTTGACAGGGAGTTGGCTATTTATTTTATGGATACTTTGACATATTTATTTGACAGAGAGTTGGCTATTTACTTTATGGATACTTTGACATATTTATTTGACAGGGAGTTGGCTATTTACTTTATGGATACTTTGACAGGGAGTTGGCTATTTACTTTATGGATACTTTGACATATTTATTTAACAGGGAGTTGGCTATTTACTTTTGACATATTTATTTGACAGGGAGTTGGCTATTTACTTTTAATTTATGGATACTTTGACATATTTATTCGACAGGGAGTTGGCTATTTACTTTATGGATACTTTGACATATTTATTTGACAGGGAGTTGGCTATTTACTTTATGGATACTTTGACATATTTATTTGACAGGGAGTTGGCTATTTACTTTATGGATACTTTGACATATTTATTTGACAGGGAGTTGGCTATTTACTTTATGGATACTTTGACATATTTATTTGACAGGGAGTTGGCTATTTACTTTATGGATACTTTGACATATTTATTTGACAGGGAGTTGGCTATTTACTTTATGGATACTTTGACATATTTATTTGACAGGGAGTTGGCTATTTACTTCATGGATACTTTGACATATTTATTTGACAGGGAGTTGGCTATTTTCATTATGGATACTTCGATATATTTATTTGAAATGAAGTTGGCTATTTGCATTATGGATACTTTGACATATTTATTTGACAGGGAGTTGGCTATTTGCATTATGGATACTTCGATATATTTATTTGACAGGGAGTTGGCTATTTGCATTATGGATACTTTGACATATTTATTCGACGGGGAGTTGGCTATTTACTTAATGGATACTTTGACATATTTATTTGACAGGGAGTTGGCTATTTACTTTTTTGGAGACTTTGGTATATTTACTTGACAGGGAGTTGGCTATTTACTTTATGGATACTTTGACATATTTATTTGACAGGGAGTTGGCTATTTACTTTTTTGGAGACTTTGGTATATTTACTTGACAGGGAGTAGGGTATTTATTTTATGGAGACTCCGATATATTTAATTGAAAGGAAGTTCGATCTGTTTGACGGGGAATAAGCTTTTTACTTTACAATGACTTTGATATATTTACTTTGCAGAGAGTAAACTATTTACTTTATAGAGATTTCGATATATTTACTTTATTCGGTATATTCTTATGGTCTCCGTTTTTTGACGGCGGTTGGTGGTTGGCAATCGGCGGCCGGCGTCTGTAACAAATTCTTACAACTTCCAATGATTGAACAAATACTGCATAAAATAGATTTTACCTTTAATGACCTCATCAAGGTCAAAAATATCTTTTTTTATCTTGCTTCAACTAGGTGGGGACAGTTTGTCGACTTAATGCCTTGTTTGACATGGGGTTAGGCTATTTACACTTTATGGATACTTTGATATATTTACTTGACAGTGAGTTCGGTATATTTACTTGACAGGGAGTAGGTTATTTACTTTATGAGGACTTTGATATAATTACTTGGGGTTGGCCTATTTTCTTTACGGGCTGTCTATATGTTTACTTGACATGGAGTTGGCTATTTACCTTGCGGGGACTTTTATATTTACTTATACAATACAATACTATGTACTTCTATATATTTACTTAAATTTATATATGAGCCAGGTACAGGAAAATGGGTTTTATCACAGATTTTTCCCTCTTAATCTTGGGCACCTTTTTGGATCTGTAGCACAATTTTAATTTTTGTAACAAGACCGGTTTTCCTATATCCAGGCTCATAGTTACGTGATGAAAACTTTTATATTCTTACTTCATGGGGACTTGATATTTACTTGATGGGGAGTTTGATATAATTATTTCAAGAGGACTTTGAAATGTTTTTATTACTTGACGGAGATTTTGATATATTTACTTGACCCTAATAGGTGTGGAGAAGTCGGAGAATGGGTTCAAATTCAATCCTCATCTTTACGTTAAAGACTACCTGGAACCAGATGTAGAAACATACAAGCAAGATCCAAGGTTCTACGACATGTTGAACGTGGAATACAATTACAATATTCCAATCGAGGAACAAATTTATTTTAAAACCATAGCAACACCCTATGATTGGACGGACTGCCCCTCAGTGCCACCCTCTTTTGGCTGCTCGTTTTCCAATGGAATGCCAGTGTATAGAAGTCCATTGCCAATCAACATGGGCTTGTTTGTGAACCAAACTGATATTGCGACCCATCAAGATGAGGACAAGGACGTTACAAAGATGAAAAATAAAAAACAGAGCAAAATTCCCACAGAAAACAATGATGTGGAATTTACTGCTAACGTCAGAGATGAAGCATTAAACAGCAAAGTGAAAAATGCGGGAAGTGGTATTTCAAGTGCCATTATAAGATGTAGAAAATCATCTAATTTACCAGTTCATTCTATCAAGAACACAAGGAATCATGGTGCGACTGGATCGTCTGCAACTGGATCGTCTGCAACCAAGTCGTCTGCAACTGGATCGTCCGCAGCTACAATACATGGGAATGTCTCTACTTACCCATATAAACCTTACAAACAAGACTTTCTAATCCAAGCAACCAATGAAAACAGTGTATTCTCCAGTGATCCCATACAGAAAACTGGCAAAGACGACCATGACGCAACATGTTTAGATTTACCGTCACATATTCCTCATCTTATTAGTGATCCAGAATATAATTTTTCCCAAGCAAACGACCGAGAAATTGATTTTCATGACTCAATTGGAGGTAATAAAAGGTCCCATTTGACACATCGTGGTATTGTTGCTGTTGATGTTCCTCTGAAAAAGCGTTGCCATAACAATAGTTATTCTGACATGCCTTTATGTAGCAACCCTAGTAACTCTAGTTCCAATGTTATGAACAAGGAAAATAGCAAAAAGCATTTTCATTCTGCAACCCTTGTTGAAGGGGACAACAAAGCCAGTGCGACACGAAGAGCAGACATTAGTAAAAATCACTCAACCAATCAAACTAGAAATCCATATAATGCAGTAGTTCAAAGATCAAAACGATCAGCTTACATTGGTGAATATAATCTTCAAAGTAATGAGAGATATGGTAGCGAGAGACATCTTGCTCGTGAGACACTTCATGCTAGTGAAAGACATATCGAAAGGAAGAAACCATATGAAAACACCAATAGAAAGTCTCGACTGAATGCCAGTAAAGCCATTAATAGAACAGGAAAACATGATATAAATGGAGCAGAAACAACTGGATCATTCAAAGGTCTTGCAGCACGATCTCGTCACAGTACCAATAGAGTTGTCGAAACGTGTAAATCAAACCAATATTTGGCTTGTGTGGGAGGGTTTTCTGATATGTCAACGTTGTATAGATCACCTAATAAAGAACACAGAACTGATGGTAGCCATAGCAACACTGCCCTCTCTACTCATTCTATTCCAATGTATGAAAATGTGAGTGAAGATGAACTATCAATGGGTAATGTTGCTACAACTGGTTCATCATCAAGCAAGTTTAACGCATATGTGAGTTATAGTTCAACAGCAAGCAAGTTTAGTACACCTTCAAACCAGGCAGCCATGTCCAACATGTTAAACACATCTGTTAGACACGATCCATTTATTAAGGTCACATCAGATGGCGGGAAGGGATTATCAGCTTGCAAATCGAGAACATCGACAACCAAAAAACATGAGGAGTGCACAGCTACAACCATTAAAACAAAACAATCCACCACTAATGAAGAGACTGGTAAAATGGAGGAAAGAGTAGGAAATGCAACCAGTTGCATCGTAGATGACAGTACAACAGACTACAGCAAATTTGATTACAACACTGGCAACAATAAAGGTCAGTCCTCTGCAAATCGAGAAAAATCTTTGATCAGTGATCTTGATGACGTTAGTGCTATGATGGATGGAATTCACAAACATATTGATGAACACAAAACGTATTGTGACATGCCTCTACCTACGTACACTCAGTCAGGTTGCTATAGCAGTATATCCCCACCTTCCATACTTACTGGTGGGAATAATACCATAGAAGCATCAAATGATGGTGTATTTAATGCCCACTATATGTTACCTAGCCAAAATTCAGAGCTCTTCAATAGAAACCGTATAGATGAAAATAACAACAGGAATATTTTATCAGGGTGTATGAGCATGAATAGCAATACAGCTATTAGTATCAGCCCTAACTCAGTCCAAAGGTTGCCCTTTACAACGAATAGGCTAATGTTAAGTACAAGTAACTCTGCGTTTTCTAAGACGGCCAATATAGCACAGAACATGGTAAAGATAGCCCCAAAGAAGAAATCTAAAGATACCAAAGTTTTGAAGAACCCAACGTTACCAACATTAAACCAAAACAGTACACAACGTCCCGTGTCCAGTTTAACGTCTTCGAATGTGACTGAAATGAATGTAGGTGTGACTAGAAAGCAGACATCCTCATCAATAACCAGCTTTGATCCTTACTGCTACAATCAAGACTTGAACAATCAGTTACCATACCAGACCAACACATATGCTTGTAACCCACCAATTATGTTAAATACCGGTCAACATCAGTTTCCATTGTCAGGGAAACCGAATACACAAAATATATATACTGTGATTCCATATAGTCAGTATCCATATATATATGCAACACAAACAAATGACATGAGCGAGACACGTGATGGAAATATACCCGCCACCTATCCATATCAGCTACTAAACTCCACAGCAGTTCAACCCCTAGTAGCCCAGAGTAATGTAATACAATGGCAGTATAGTTCAATCCAAGGTCAGGTGATAAACACATGTGTTGGGCAAAACGAATTGCCAAACATGCAATCACACCAAACATTTCCAATGAATTCAGATTCAAAAGAAAAAACAGTGAAAACAAGCAAGAAGAAACGAAATCCTTCCAGTAAGAAAGCTGCAACAGCAACAAAAGCACAACACCATTCTACCAGCATTGTGGACCTGAATCAAATGCTCGCGAAAACCAAACAAGCACTAGAGCAACAAATGAAGGCAAAACCCACGATAAATGAACAGCTTGATGAGAGCAAGAAAGATGTACACGTAGCACCAAAGAAAACCAGAAAATCTAAAAAGAAATCAGTTGAACAGAAAAACTCTTTAAAAGCTGAGGCGTTTAAGAGAACAAAACTCGGATACGAGCCACTTGACATTGCAGCGTCCTTCAAACCTGAAGCGACCTCTATCTACAGGTGTAAGGAACCAGTCAACACAACCGATCATGCCTATGAATCGTCAACCACGATGCAGAATCTTGACCACAAATGTGCTTGGAATGCAGCAAAGTCAATACCCATTGCAAGTGAAATGACAACGAAGTTGAAGCCTATGGTGAGCAAGATGTCAACAAAAATGATACCAATGACTTCTAAACCAAATGGAAATGATAAGACTACCATATTGACAATGGAAGGTGATCTTTTTCTCAGTGACGTCAAACATAGCACGACGTCAATATCTTTGAATTTGAACAGTAATGTTGATATAGTTGAGGACAATGTGTCAGGTAGAACTGATGGCAATACAGTTGGTATTGGGATATTTCCTCAAAAGGAAGAACTCCGATTGGAAAAATTATTTGGAGAAGCTCCGACCTACCTTCAGGAATATGAGTATGAAAGTAAGTGTATGGTAAAATGTAAAGAAACCAAAGAACATTCCATCGACGTCGTACTTGTAGGTGATGTAGAAAAACCTGCATGCAAAACAACCACTGTTGATGTAATCAATGTGGCAGATAAACATAATCGTGTCCAAGGAAACATGAATGCAGAATTGTGTTCTGAAAATATCAGTGTCAACTCCTCGGAAAAGACATGTGACCATCAAGGCAAAGCTTCAAGATTGACGGCAATCGATGAAGATCTTCAGGGCGAGATGACAACACTGTCTATAACCAATGGTGATCATCAACGCCACAGTTCAACACCATTAGGTCACACTACACCTTTGTTAACAATAAAAAGTGATCGCCAAATCGACACTGAAACACTCTCAGCTATCGACTCTGATCATAAAGATGACACTACATCTTTGTCAATAACAAGTTGTGATCGTCTAGGCAGCACTATTACACTGACTGCAAACAATGATAATAATCAAGGTCACACAACAACACTATCTCCAATCGATAGTGATCGGCAATGCCATGCTGTAACACTTTCATCAATCAATGATGATCGTCAAGGCGACACTATGGCACTGTCAATAATCAGAAATGAGCGCCAGGGTGACACTTCAGCACTTTCTCCAATCGATGATAATCTTCCAGATCACATTGCAACACTCTCAATAATCAATGACGATCATCAAGACAACACTACAACAACGTCAACATTCCATTGTGATACTTTTGCTGACACTAACATGAAAAGCACTCAAATTATAGAGAAAACAGCAGAACATATATCTGATAATGCTACTACAGATCATACAAATGAGATGAAAAATGACGAGCTATCAGATAATGCTATAAGAAATGCCAGAAAAATGTTTTTGGAAACTCTAAAATTGAGCCAGCTAACAAACATATATGATAGAAAGGTTGAATCAGCAACCAGTAGCGACGCGCACAAACACACATCGGGGACTTCTTACCCCAAACCTTTTGTCAAAACAAATAACTTGGTTGAAAATGATGTAGAAATATCAGAATTTCTCAATTTTATTCCACACAATACAAGGCAAGATAATATTGATCAACAGACTAGAGCTATGAAAAATCCAATTATTAGCCAGAATTACAGCAAAACGGATGATGAGATCAGTCTAGATCAAACAGCTCTGGAATTCCCATTACATTGTGATGAGGCCTTAATAGACGAGGACGTCCGCTTTAAACCAATAACTGACAAAATGATACAGCATGCCAATGAGGTTGTTACGCAATCGGAGAAAGCAGGTCCTCAGAAGCATGCAGTTTTGGACATAGCAACAGCAAGTATAGCAACTGTGTACAACAATAAAAACATGAATCCTTGGCTGTTTACATCTCCAGTCTCACGACCGACCATAACATCTGGGACACCAGAGTCCATTAAGAGAATAAGATTAAAGTTCCAGCATGGCTTTCAACCACTGCAGAAGGACAATGGAGCTGATGTTCCTGCCACAGTCGGTGTGCAATGTTTACCCAAACATCCAACCCCACCCACATTAACAGGGGCAAACAAGGTATTAGATTTATCAGAGCCGATTTTAAGATCTCCACCCAAAGCACGACATATTTGTGGACCATTAGAGAGAGTTTGCATTCCCTACCACTATTCCCCTAAAGTAAAAATCGTGCCTACAATACTGAAAACGAAACAAATAAAGCCATCTACGAGTGTTCCAAAGTTAAGTCAACATTTTACAGAAGGGACATCCGGTACAGAACTTGTGAGATATACACGTAGCTCCGAAATTGGACACCAGTATGCGAACCATCCAAACAACAATGTTGATTTTACGAGTACCGCATCAAAGAACGTGTATGGCTCATATACTACTAGTGAATGTAATACCATTGGTTTGCTCAACCCGGATGTCTACTATAAAACCTGTCCCGTGACAATCGTGTACAGTAGACCTGACAGCCATACTGATACCACGTGCACACTTGTACAAACCAATACCATACCTGTACACACTAATACTACACCTGTATTCTCTGATGCAACACCTGTATACATTGATTCAAATATAATCACTGCTGAAGCTCAACAAAGTGATAACGCTGAACATGAAAATGCAATTAAAGATAAGTTACGTGTGAAACGCGACATTGATAAAAAGACTAAGACGCAAACAAAAGACTGTCCAATGGTCATGGATGACGTCATACAGATTGTTGAAGAAACGGGTGTAAATATGAATATAAATCACAATGGTGTACATATGATGCAAGAAGTGCCCCACAGAGTCGAAGAGTCCGTCAGCAAATTTTCACATAAAACTGATGTTTATGAATCACATAATGACAACCCGGATCAAACAGAAGTAACGATCAAAGAATGTGAAAAACATGATTTGTCAAATGAAGCTCCATTAAATATTGGTAATGTTTACCCTTGGGAAAATAAGGAAACCAATGTGGATCGTTGGAGTACAAAGGTGCATGATGAAAACATGAAAGATGATGAAAATGTGAATGACATGGATGATGGAAGCGCGTATATTAAGGATGAAGACAAGAGTATGGATTATGAAAACACGAACTTAGAGGATGGAGACATAAACGTAGAGGATGGAAATACAAAGGTTGATGAGGAAAACATAAACGTAAATGATGACAACATGATTATGGATGATGTAAACATGAATGAGGAAGATGTTAACACAAATGTGGATTTTGAAAACACAAATGATAGAAGCAATCATGTTCGTGACATACATGTGATGACAGATATTGGAAAAGATACAGAGGGAACCATAAAGACCATTGATTGTGTAAATCGTGACAAGGACAGTAAAGGAAGTCCCAATCAAATCACAGGCAATAAACTAAGTCGAATTGTCACCGATGCACAAACACAGGAATTAGACAACAGTATGATCTTTGAAGTAAAAACTTTTACAAACAAACAGAATAATAACATGAGCAGGGAAGATGAAAATATATCAGATGAAGTCGTTCAACCTAATGGTTGTTTACCTAAAAGATCAGAAGAGCTTAGTTTGAATAAAATCGTCATTGATAAACGATGTCTTGGTACATTAGAATATGGTAGCAATGATTTTTATCAGAAATGCAATACACATAAAAGAGCAGATGATGTTGAAGTAGCCACACGGGATAAACCATACCCGCTAACATGTAATGATGTGGCAACCAGTGATGTTGCACAAATACCCAAAGAACGAATGGAAAAACAAGATCAACCCGAACTATCTGGAGTAATCCAGATGTTTGGCGGAAGAAAGACTACAAGGGGTAGTCTGAAGTTAAGTGATCTTGAGTTAGCGTCTGTGTCTATGTCACTCTGTGATTTTTCATCCAATGCGAACGCAGGTGTTTTAGAACACGCCCTTCATGTAATTGACATGAACAACAATGAACCAGAGGGCTGCTTACATGTGGACGAATTGATAAGTAATAACAATGCGTTACCCGTGGAAAACAAAACAAACGAGTCTGAAAATTCAAAACATATTGATATAGTACCAGAAGATGATGTTGATCCATCTCCAGTTGACAATGATCATGTGGTTCAAAACCAACCAAACGTTGAGCAAGCTAATTTGAATAACCACCAAATGATACCTGATGAAAGAATGGGGACAAAGGATATGACCACTGAAACTGAAACTTCAAAAATAAATGACATCGTAGCAGGTGACAATGACAATACTGTTGAGGAAAGCCTTGATCTTTGTGATAATACTTGTTCTAGTGTATCAGATATAAGCCAAGCAAACAAAGGCAATAATTATTGTGAAGCTAGCGTAACAAATCATATTGCAGATCAATCTTTCAATGGAGGTTACACTGTGCCTATGAGTCACCATTATGGTGGAACAATTGTCTGGTACCCAACGCATGATTCAAGTGATGGTCAGCTTGAAGAGAATACCTCACATTTGAGTCCTAAAAGCTTAGGCAATCAACTCATATCCTTCCTGGAAAGGATATCATCTAGAGCAGGTAGAAAATGTGACGCAGAAAGTACAATTGCAATGGAAAGTACCGTAGATGATCCGCCACCTAAGAAGAACCTGTTAATAGATCCATTTGAAGAAGTGCCAAAAGTCACTGATTCATTTGATGTGCAGCCTAAAGTACTGAAATCAGTAAATGGAACACAAATGATATCAGATCAAAAAGGGCACTTTGATCTGGGATTTTCGGCACAAAACAAAACAGTAGTACCAAACAATACGATGGCACCATGCAATACAATAGCACCATGCAATAAAGTTATACAAAACAATATAGTGGCACCAATCGATATGGTCGAGTCATACAGCACAGCGCCACCAAACAATACATTAGCATTAAACGAAACGGTGTCACCAAACAATATAGTGGCAATTAACAATACAATGACACAATACAAAAGAGTGTTACCAACATATACAACAGCACCAAATAACACAAAGACAACAAACAACACAGTGGCACTTAACAATACAGTGGAACCAAACAACATAATGTCACTAAACAATGAGTTGCCACTAAACAACACAGAATACCAAGACAAACCATTGGACTTAACAATGGGACAGAAGAGAGAACATGAAACTGATAAAGTTGTAGATGACGATGATACCCCTAACACTAAACGAAGAAAGGACATTGAAATATATGCAGAGAGCAATAAATTTGATACAGTTGACTCAGATACTGATAGATCAATCGGATATTGTATGTCACCAGAGACAAATCCCATATGGGATGAACATAATGACGAAACCGGAGAATGCTACAGAGAATCTCTAGATTTCCAAAGCATGCATGCACGTGAATCGCATCACATTTACCCAAAAAGAGAAATATTCGCAGGCGATCAAAGTTTATTGAAAAACTATTCACAATCTGTGTTCCCTGAAAAGATTCCACAGTTTATATCCGATTCAAGACAAGCGTCCGAGAAAATAAAATTAAGGAAGAGGGGGAACACTACTACAACTGTACCTAAGGCAAGGGCTACAGAAGGCTTTGATGACGAGGATGAATTCAATGAACTAGTTATTGATATCAAAGAGGAAGGCGCAGATGATACTATTGGTGTGTCTCATAGTTCGAACCAATCAACGCGGAGGAAATCTAAGCAAGTGATGACTGGGAGAGCATTGGACCAATCAGCGAGGAGTAAACATGGACACGTGATGACTGAGAGAGCATTGAACCAATCAGTAAGTGGCAAGAGCGCGTCAAGTAGTGAGACGGGGGATGATACGGAGTGGAAGCCATGGCAATCACATAAAACCTATCAGTACAATACCTCCAGCCAAAAACTACGCAAAAGGAAGAAAATCAAGAAAGAACGTATCGATGGGGAAGCTATTAGTGCTGTAGATTTAACTGAAGTTGAAAGACCTCTTAAGTAAGTTTAACATTAATTTTTTCGGTTTCTCAAGGTCATTCAGGAGCAAGTTGTTTTTGCACATTTCAATCATTTTCAAACCATTTGTTTGTCAATTCTATAAGAAAACGGTACTCTCTGACATGTCTACATTATCATAGGTATGTTATAAATCGTTTATGTCACTATCGTGGCACATATGCCCTCGGTTCTCAGAGATCAATGTCACTCCCAAGGTCGGGCCATATATCACTGAGACCTCGGGCATATATGCCACGATAGTGACATAACCTCTAATTATGATACATGACATACATAAGCGTTAAATGTTTTATTTCTAGATGCAACATTTGCAAGAAATCGTCAAAGTCAAAAACAAGACTTTGTGAGCATCTGATCTCCAAAGGTCTTGGAGAGCAAAAATGTGACAAGTGCAGTGCTTTCTTCCATACGATGGTATAACGGCAATTTTCTTATGTTTTCCATGCAGTTTTGAGGCTCGAATTAGTTCTAAATATTCTATTTTCTTAACTTTTTGGATTGATTTAAGGAACTGGCGTTTTTTATTTACTTAGTGAGGCCATGTTATGCAATAGTTAAGCAGCCAGATAAGTTCTGTACTTGTACCATTATTGTCTGTAAAGATGTTGCACGTAACCAAAATGTTGATGAACTCAATAACAAATGAAAAGACTTTATTTCAGATCGACCTCGTCCACCATAAAATGGAGAAACATGTAAAGTGTTGGTTCATATGCTCTCTGTGTGATGGAAAGTTCACCAGTCAGTTCCAACTTGATCAACATGATGCAATATGTGCTAGCAAAAGACAAAATACTGAAAGGTAACCAAGTATATGGGGCCATTACCAGAATTTCTATTATTTTCTTCTCATGACCCAAATGTAAATATGTAGCTTAGTTTTATTTCAATATTATTTTTTTCTGCTCATATTTGCAGGTTCAAGTGTACGATATGTGTTAACAGTTTTCAACAGGAGCAGCATCTCATAAGCCACACAAGATACCATAACTCAAAGGACCTCTTCCCTTGTACGGCCAAAGGTTGTGTTTATGGAGGAACGTCAGAGGCAGTGCTTCACCAACATGTACAGGTACGAGGTGCATTTGAAAAGATCGTTTCTTTTTGCTCTAAAAATACCAGGATAGTTCGAATATTTATTATTAATCTGGGAAAATTATAGCGTGTAATATCTCACAGCCACGGGTTTACATTCGTTTGAAATATACATGTACGTGTCTCGATACCGTGGACCAGCTTGAATGTGGATACTTTTACGTCATCCAGTCATAATGTGCAGTCCTCAGACCTATCTTATCATTGCCACAACATTAAGCCAGTGGGACAAAGTCAGGGCTCTCTATCTCCTTCGAAGTATTTTTTCCAAAATAGAATGCACTTTCTAAACCTCCGTGTCCAATCCATATAGGCATTTTCCTGTTCAATTATCGTCTTCACTTAGTCAATGTCTTCTTTTAATATCGCTATCCATTTCTCCCGCTTTTTGGCTCATCTTTGATGGTTGCCGGGATGCCTTTCTTGAACTTGTTCAATGACCCTCGTATATGTAATTGTGACATGCATTTTATGTAAAACACAAGTACTATGTATTTGACGAAAATGCAACGATCAGAGAAACGATCTTAAGAAATGGTGCATAGGTATGAACTGTAAAGTTAACGTAAGATTACAATAGAAAGTTAGTAGTAACGATTACATACCCCCATGGTTATGTAGTAAAGCATGGGACATGTAGTTTGTGTCATGCATTCCATTGTTGCTGTTTTAATACAGCTCTGGGTCCAAGGTAATTGATTGTATGAAATGCTTTTCAAGATCACATGCTCAATGACTACAAACTATTTCCAGAAACACCACCAAAAATCCAGCCAGGTTTGGGAGTGTCCCATATCAGCATGCATGGCACAGTTTAGCAGCATTATAGACCTAAACACACACGTAACGGAACACACGGGGTCAACAGTGATGACGTGTAACTTCTGCGGGAGCGTAATGGGGACAAAGCCGACGTTAGCAAAACACCTACAGCGTCATAGTGAAGTGAAGCCAATGGGCTGTAACTTGTGTGAGTTCAGATGTCGTCAGAGGAACTCTATCAATTACCACATGGCAAAGCATCATCCTATTGAATGGCAGCAGAAGTAAGTGCTATTTTTAAATGGTCCATTTTCCTTTCATGTTGGCGTTATATGCATGTTACCATGGTAACGGGATATGAGACTTATCATATAACATTTGTTTTTCAATTAATGAGCTATAACTGACTCAAAATTCATTCAAACAAAAATGCAAATGCTTATAGTGATGTTACAAGATTTCATATCGTAAGAATAGCTGTTATCATGGCAACGAACTAGGGGACCTAAACTACAGTACTTCTATGGTTGTAAAAATAGTGATATCTTGAAGTCATCAGATATTGGCCAGTGTACTGAAACCATGGCAACAAATTAAGGGATTCTGGATTTACACTTCTGTTGATCTTCAATATTCTAAATCATACAGATGCTACAGACACATAGGCTAGCTGCTGGACACTACATCATTCAATGTCTGTTAAAGGAGGAGGGAAATTAGCGCAACAGATTTTGGACAGTCATATGTCGGATTTTGGCCATTTTCTGAGGATTTAAACAGGTGCATACGGTATGTTAGGCCAATGTATTACCTCCAGGAAAAGCACTTCTAGAGATGATGAAATAACTTCGACTTTGAGACAGGGCAGATGCAAACAACCCACCCACATGTTTTTTTCTGAAATTTCCTGATTTTCATCCCCTTCCATCCCTGCTTTTTAAGTTTTTTTGCATCAATATGTTGCATTTTGACACACAGTTAACATAAGTGATTCCTATAGATAAAGTGGAAAACAATATTTCCCTTGTTATTTTCCCATAGGGAAAACTCATGCGATCAATTGCTTTCAGCTAATTTTGGTTACGCATTATGGATATCTTTAAAACCCCTGAAGGAATCACTTATTCCTTTAAAATGGTTAACTGTGTGTCAAAACGCAACATATTGATACTTCAAAAATTGAAAAAGCAGGGGTGGAAGGGGTGGAAAATCAGAACAACATTTCAGAAAAAACATGTTGGTGGGTTGTTTGCACCTCCCCTGTCTCAAAGTCGAAGTTATTTTATCATCTCTAGAAGTGCTTTTCCTGGAGGTAATGCATTGATCTAACATATGCACCTGTTTAAATCCTCAGAGAATAGCCACAATCCAACATATGACTCTCCGAAATCTGTTGCGATACTTTCCGTCCTCCTTTATCTTAAACGTTATATAATTTTTTGTTCATTTATTTTCAGACTGGTTTGTCTATGCCCAGTGTGTGACAAACGCTTTGAAGGAAAATTCCATCTGCAATGTCATCAACGTAAAACTGGACACGTCATAAAATCAGAGAGTGCTGGTGGTAAGACTAAACAGACTAAAGCAATAAAGAAAAACTACAAATGTAACGTATGTGACCGAACCTTTAAGGGTTCCTTTAATCTAACCTGTCATCAATGGAGAGCAAAGCATGATGGGACAAAGAAGAATGCTGGGATTGAACAACCTGGCCCAAACAGTATGGATAAAATAGAGGTTTGTTCTACCGACGTGAGCAACCAACTCAAGAGTGATCTGGATGAAAATGATAACAAGCTTTGCAATACAAATAGTGGATATGCTTACTTCAAAAACTATGCCAAAAATGACCATTCAAATGATGAAAAGTCTGACCATATGAACAGTAAAAAGGCAGATAATGAGAACAATGAAAAGCCTGATCACAAGAATAATGAAAAAGCTGATCTCAAGAAGATTGAAGAGGGTTATCAAAATGACGCTGGAAAATCTGATTATAACAACAATGAAAAACCTGATCACAAGAATAATGAAAAAGCTGATCTCAAGAACAGTGAAGAGTGTTATCAAAATGACGCTGAGAAATCTGATTATAACAACAATGAAAAATCTGATTACAAGAATGATGAAAAATCTGACGCCAAGAACAATGAAACACCACATCATTCAAGCGTTGAAAATATCAAGAACACAGACAATGAAAATCCAGACCATAAACAGAATGAAACCTCTCACCACACAAGTAGTGCTAAGAGTGTCCATTACAGATCCCCACAGTATGAAGTGGTTGACCAAAATGCCAACATTCTACATGGTTCTATGGTTGGCATTGATAAATTCACAAAAATAAGACTAAAAATGAAACTAAAAAAGGGACCTAGAAAATCCTTAGGAAGCAGAGAATATCCAACTACCCAACTGAATGCCCAACTTGATGCCCAACTCGGAGACAGCAATCTATCTGATGACAAACATGAAAATGGGCAACATAGTCCTGGGAATATTCAACATTGTTTGAAAAATGTTCAGTTTGATGTGGCAAAACATGTTCAAAGAGTTCCTGAAAAATGTTCACAAGATCCTGAAAGTGTTCAACATGATTATCAAAATGATCAAGATTGCCCTGGAACTGAACAATTGAGTACGGGGGATTTCCAAGAAATATTTGAAGCATTTGCAAATACTCCAAATGATGTTCAAGTAAATACTGCAAATATTCAACTGAATACTTCAAATGCTCAAGTAAATACTGATGATCAAGTAAAACAATCAACAAATACTTGAGAAAATACTACAAAACGTTCAAGTAAATAGGGAAATGTTAAAGTAAATACTACAAACGTTCAAGTAAATAGGCAAATGTTTAAGTAAATACTACAAATGTTCCAGTAAATAATTCATATGTTTAAGTAAATACTACAAATGTTCATGTAAATATTACAAATGTTCAAGTAAATACTACAAATGTTTAAGTAAATAGGCAAATGTTTAAGTAAATACTACAAATGTTCCAGTAAATAATTCATATGTTTAAGTAAATACTACAAATGTTCATGTAAATACTACAAATGTTCAAGTAAATACTACAACTGCTCAAGTAAAAACTACAAATGTTCAAGTAAATACTACAAATGTTCCAGTAAATAATTCATATGTTTAAGTAAATACTACAAATGTTCATGTAAATACTATAAATGTTCAAGTAAATACTACAAATGTTCAAGTAAATACTACAACTGCTCAAGTAAAAACTACAAATGTTCAAGTAAATACTAAAAATGTTCAAGTAAATACTACAAATGTTCAAGTAAATACTACAAATGTTCAAGTAAATAATTCATATGTTTAAGTAGATACTACAAATGTTCATGTAAATACTATAAATGTTGAAGTAAATACGACAAATGTTCAATTAAATACTACAACTGCTCAAGTAAAACCTACAAATGTTCAAGTAAATACTAAAAATGTTCAAGTAAATACTACAAATGTTCAAGTAAATACTACAACTGCTTAAGTAAAAACTACAAATGTTCAAGTAAATACTACAAATGTTCAAGTAAATAGGCAAATGTTTAAGTAAATACTACAAATGTTCCAGTAAATAATTCATATGTTTAAGTAAATACTACAAATGTTCATGTAAATACTATAAATGTTCAAGTAAATACTACAAATGTTCAAGTAAATACTACAACTGCTCAAGTAAAAACTACAAATGTTCAAGTAAATACTAAAAATGTTCAAGTAAATACTACAAATGTTCAAGTAAATACTACAACTGCTCAAGTAAATACTACAAATGTTTATATAAATACTACAGATGTTAAAGTAAATACTCTGATCAAACTCTGAGCAGATACTTCAAATGATCGAGATCAAAGCTAATTTTATTTCTTAAATAAGAAAGTACAGCGAAAGTACAGCGAAAGTACAGATTGTACAGATTGTACAGTGAATTGAATTATGTTTATTTTCTGTTCTTTAATCAGACACATGATTGTGTTGGATTGTGTCCAATTATCAACAACCATAGAAAAGCGAAGTAAATTTTGTTATGGATGCCCCCCCCCCTTCTCTCATATAACAAAATTTTAAATGTTGATCGGTCTTTCACCTGTTGAATATCAAACGAATGAACACTAATCACTATCGAAACCATCATTTATCCTGTCCCTATAATGAAACTAACTTCTTATTTCCACAATTGATGATCATTGGACATATTCCCAATTATTTAAGAATTGTAATATCTATTTGACCCCAATGGTATTATTGGGTTCCGTTTATGTTTCTCTTTGGAAATCTATCCAGCAATGAAAATCTGTATAGAGCATTGAACATTCTGGTACTACACTGTATGTCTCTAAAATGAAAGTTTGAATTTTTCTCAATTCAATAAAGGCTTTGTTGTATTATTTTTGTACTATTGGTTAACAAGGACTGTACAGTGTAGACCCTTGTTGGATCATGATTTCATTGATAACAGTCTTTTAATCCTGATGTGAAGATCTTGTTTTCTTTATTTGTGAATTCTAACACTAAAATAAAAATATAGTTTCTGTTATTATGTTTATACACTTAGTTCTAATGTTTTTATTATTTATGTAAATTCAAAATGAAGAAGATCGGAGATACACGTATATAGGAACAGAAAGAGACGCACCCAATTTTGTGCTCATGGGGCTAAACTGAAGGAGTTTTCAGTTTAATAAAGAATTGCTTTTCTGCAGGAATCAATGAAGATACGAAATCATTTTGTATGAAATTATGTGTCATGTCAATTTTAAAAAATTTGCTTTACTCTTTTAATTTTGTCAAACCATTATTGAAATAAATGTTTCCACTCGCATTACAAATCACAGTAATATGGAGGTGTCTTGCAATGAGAGGTGATTGTTTGGGCACTTCGGTGACAATGACTATCACAGATTTCAATGTTTCAGGAGACAATAAATAGACCTAGTTGTTTCAACTAACATCAACTTTTGTAGGATCTATGAGAAACTAATTATTGGTATTCTTGAACCATCACTGTAGAGGAACTCGTAAAGAGGGTTACGTAAACAGATTCGTTTTCGTAATAAAATGGCGCAAACGATTTTGATACGTTTTTGTTTTTCCTTGATTTCACGAGATATAAGCAGAACCACCACTCCCTGTTTTGCACAAACGTGTGTCAGAGTCCTAGGTTTCAAAAAATCCAAGCTTTTGGGAACGCATTTCCTTGTAAGATTGCAAAATTATCAATATACTTCCTCACTTAAGTTACGTAAATGAATGGGCTAAGAAGTGCAGCAATTACGAATACGATGAAAACTATGTTATGTAAACGGGATTTCACGATAATTCTTTACACGCTCAGTTGATAAAGTTGGCAACACAAAGGATCCGTTACCCCATGTACCTAAAGATGCCCCAAAGGTTTCATTGAATATAGCATGGAAATAGTTACTTTTATCAATTATGAACACATCAAAAACAAAATTAGGTCATAGGGATTAAAACTAAGGTCATTCAGTGCATTTAAGTTTGACTATGCAAATCATTCTAAATATCATGTTACGGGTATGTTAATCTTCACCCATGACTATTTTAAGTATATTGACCATTCAATCAATCGATATATCAAACTATCATTAAGGTAGGACACAAAGGGCAACATATTGAAAACAAAAATCATAAAATAACCCCTAAAATGCAATATATCGATGAATCTTAATCTTGAATCTCAGCAAAAGTACCATTATCACCCCAGTTGGTTTTCGTTAATCTCCTACCACTGTAACTTCCAACTTAATTTTTGAAAGCCAAATACGACAGTCACGCATCAATATTTAAGTAACACGTTGATAGTACACCATGTGTGTACATTAACTGTCGAATACATGCCGACTTACTTTTATATAAATATCCACAGTTAATTCAAATCATCAATTCTCGAAACGGTTTATCATATAACCTTGTGAGTTTAATGTTTCATTTTAATTATAATTATGGTATCGGATTTGAGTATGATATTAGCCGAGGCTTAAGGAAAACGATGAAATTGCATGAAACGTTTTGTGAAAATTCGAACGATTTTTCAAGAATCCTCCTTCAAAGTGTTACCAAAAGTGCTCCCTGGGAGTGGAAATTTCGTCTTGTGCAATCAAAATAACAGCGGTTATTTATCTTTAAATTTAAAAACGTATCGCCCCATCGAGAGTTACATGTAGTTTTTGGCAATCGATCATCATAAAGGCTAATTATTGTGTAAAAGCAGGAGTTGACACGTTTACATTTGGAATTGAAAATCCTACATAAGTCTTCCCGTATAACCTGCATAATTCACGCCGCTTACACTGGGTGACTAATTTTTAAAGCCTTGGTATTTCAAACTTCAGGAAAGAAGCTTTGTCATGGTAACAGCCTGTTGATGAAAATTGCAGACTATTGCACAATTAAACAAGGCACAGGACGTGAACAAGATCACACCATCAAATAGGCAGACACTATGAACCAGGAAAACTGTTCTCCTATTATGTTTACAAATTTGAAGAACAAGAAAACAAGATGGCCGCCCAAAAGTTAATCAGCTCTAGTACTTGATATCCTCTATCATTTGTGTAAATTTGAAGGAAATCCGATGAGCGGTTTTCCTGAAATGGCGATGACAATATTTTTCGAAATACCTTCAAAATGGCCACCAGAAAACAAGATGGCCGCCCAAAAGTTAATCAGCTCTAGCATGTGTGTAAATTTGAAGGAAATCCGATGAGCGGATTTTCTGAAATGGCGATGACAAGATTTTTCGAAAAATCTTCAAAACGGCTGCCAGAAAACAAGATGGCCGCCCAAAAGTTAATCAGCTCTAGTACTTGATATCCTCTATCATTTGTGTAAATTTGAAGGAAATCCAATGAGCAGTTTTCCTTAAACGGCGATGACAAAAAGCGGGACGATCACGACCACGATCACGACCACGACCACGATCACGACCACGATCACGACCACGACCAGTTTGACGACTATAAAAGGGTACGTTAGAACCAGTCCCGATCAAGATATTTATAAGTAGAAATAGTTTGATACATTAGGGAGGGGCGGCATCAAAATATCGCAATGTATGATAGGAACTGAATGTTTGAGGGTTCTGGTAAACGCACATTTTAGTTTCTTATCCGACATTTTCCAACATTTCAATATTATGTAAATATGTCGCTACCTACCTCATTCATATACTTACAATAGAACATAATAAAAACAGATTATAAATTATGATTGATACAAAATTTATGATGGATATTTTATACAGTATAGCAAGGAAATAAAGGTGAGAAGACCAATGAATGTGTCTTTAAATTAACTCCACGACAATATTTTACAAAATCTCCAGTGGAAACTTAAACTGGTTTACTTGCAGATAAATACGTTGAGGACTGTCATTCTGACCCATCCTTTACTGGTGTATGAAACATAAAAACAAAAGAGGGACGAATATTCAGTGCCTATTGCGACCAGGGCTGGATGTATATTTTCAAACGATTCGACGGCACAGAAGACTTCTATCGTACATGGACTGAATACCAACATGGCTTTGGCTATGCAGAAAAAGAACATTTTATCGGACTTGATAACCTCGCAAGCACTCTTAAAAATGAATTACTTGAGTATTTCCCAAGTATAAAAATTACTTAAAGTTAAATACTTAGTTTTACTTCATTTTACTTAGGTTTTACTTATATTGTCATTTTGAGTTTTTTAATTGCTTAATTATGTAAATGAGTATTACAATTACTACAGTAAGTATTTCAATTTCTCTCCTTGCATTAGTAAATTCACCATAAATTCAGAGTGCCTGTGAAGTCATTTTAATTTTTTTAAAATTAATATATATATCATTGTTTTAAATT